CAGCAGTTCCTTGCTGGCCTGGCTGTGTCTTTTAAAAAGGCACAGCTGGAGTGAGCATCACTGCCTGAGGAGCAGCTGAGTAGATGACAAAGGTCCTGCAGGAGCAGGTATTGCTGAAATGAAACATCTGTCCAACAGGAAAAGGTGTGCTGTGGGAAGGAACCCACATTCCTGGGATGTGAAGGTAGAGGAGGTGGCTGGGTACCAGGGCTTGGCTAAGAACTGAAAGCTTTGGGGAATGCAGAAGGTGTCAACAGCAGAGGCTGCTGTAGCATCCTCTGAGCCAGGTGAGAGTGGCAGTGGAACTGGACCAGACCCTGTGGAGTGACCAGAGGGAGCCAGTGAATTCCAGTGGGTGTTGCAGGACTATAAAAGATGTTCCTGTAGAAAGAGTCCCCAGCAGTGCCATGGCCTGCTGGTTTGCTGCAAAGGGGCCCTTGTGCTATACTGGTTTTTAACCATGATTCTGAAAGGTTTCAATAAATAGCTCTTACAGGGAAAAGCTGATATTTATCAGATAAAGGAGCATGTGCTGTATGGTTTTGGCTTCTATCAGCTGTACTGGATATGTGTGTCCATGGTTGCAGTGGCTGACAGGGCCTGGTGTGGTAGTGGAGCAGGAGCTGCTCATGCAGAATGGCTGAGACTGGAGCCTGTGCTGCCCAGAGCAGAGCTCCTGCGAGATCCCAGGGCAGCCTGAATTCCCAGCTGGCCTCACACAGAAACTGGGGCCGTCTTCTTCCAGCCTCTGCAGAGTATTTCAGTTGCAAACAGCCCTGAGGTTTCCCTACCCCATGGATGTGCTCTGGGATCACTCCTTTGATACCTGGTAGGGGAACAGCCAGTGAAGCACAAACCAGGGGCTGCCACGTCAACTTTTGTGCAAGGGTTGGAGTTCAGTGTCAAAATAGGGAAGTGGAAGCTGCATAATTTTATAAATTCTGCTTTGTTGTTGAAGACCAAAGACTTCCTGTTTGGGGATTCAGGGCTTTTTCCATTTCCACTGTAAATGGTGAGAGACTACCCATAAACCTCATGTTTACTTCACAATTTCTGATGCTTTCTACATGTGCTGAAACAGCTTTCAGATGGCCATGACATTTTGTCAAAAATAGAAATGGCAGCTGGGAAAGGAAAAGTAGTTGAATGTCAGCCTAATCTTAAAAAGCATTTTCTTTATTGGAGTTAAAGAGCCACGTCCATCACCACAGCGCTGCACACGTTTGTTGTACATATTCCATTATTGTAACAAGTCAGCTGAGATTTTTCAAAAATCAACTGAGTGTTTTCATTCAGTTCTTCCTTACAGCCCTCATGGAACGGAATATTTAATTGGTGGATTTTGTCTGTGAAGCCAATTCATGAGCTACAAAGTAATCTCCACGTAACAAATCCTGCTCTACAGCAATTCCAGGCACTTGCAGCTCTCACAGGGGAAGATCAAAATGTCACAGTTCTGTACAAATTTGGACAGGGTAATTTAACAGTGTCATTTAGTACCATAATTTCCAGTAGTACAGTGAACTAAAAGATACAAGCTCCAAAGTTTAGAAAAAAAGGTAAAATCTTAGGGACTATTTTTGTAACTATCTAAATTCAGAACTAAGATGCGCCAAAATTCAAGTGGACAAGAATTAACATCTACTGAGGAAATCCCAAAGGGCCATTAAAGAGCCATGGAAAGGAGTGGCAGTTCCTCCATCCAGTCACTGGTGCTGTCATGCCATGCTGATGTGGGCTCCAGCTGTTATGGAAAAGGAGTTCTTTTAGGATACTTTTTAAGGGAGTGAACCACAAAGATCAGCTGTGAAACACCTGGGGTCTGCAGAATTTTCCCCATCCCCTTTTGCCAGCCAGCCCTGCTGTAACAGGGGCTGTCCCTGCAGCCTGGGATGGCACAGCTGGCTCCAAGCCCCCACACATTGTGGGATGGCACAGCTGTTCATTAAATGTCATTTTTGGCACTTCTGTGTTTGGGAATGACTCTGCTAAACCCAGAGTGTCTCGCTCTGAAGAGGCCTCCTGGTGTCCAAGAGCCCAACCCAGCAGCTACACTTAGCACAGAATTCACAATTAGCACAGAATTCACAATTAGCACAGAATCCCAGAGTATCCTGAGCTGGGAGGGACCCACAAGGACCATGGGAATCCAGCTCCTGTGGGCTGGGGGTTCTGCAGCTCCTCTGGGCTGCCTGAGGCCATGGCTCTGGTCCCTCATCAGGGCAGTCCCTGTGCAGGAGAGGGGCCAGGCCTGACCAGCTCCTGTGGGACACTCACCTGCTGCACATGGAGAAGTTCAGCCATCACTGATGGAGCCCTGGGTTTGGAGCTGCCCATGGAAAGCAGCCACTGCTCCTGTGGCACTGGCTGATCCCAGGCTGCTCCCACCCACCCCTCTGGCAGCATTTTCCATCCTTGGCATCAGTGACACTCGATTTCCCCTCACAGCAGCCATGGTTTGAAACATTTCATTCCTGTTCCATTCACATCCCTGGATCTGCACCTTGCAATTCCTCTTCTGGGAATGCCAAAACTCAGAGCTCAATACAAGAATAAAACTCCTCCAACAGTTTCAGTAATTCAATAATTTATTCATCTAAAAAAGTGTGTAAAAGTATATAGCTCTCATCCACAAGGTATATATGAATGACATTTAAAATGGAGGTCTTTTATTATTATTGTTTCTTTTTATCAAAGTCTTTTTTAGTGTATTGTACCAGCGATATACTGTAGATTTAAAATGAACTTCACATTTTTTTTTGTTTTCTTTCAAATTGTCGGCTATATATAAAAGAAGCTCACTGCAAAATGCTCAGAGGAAAAAAAAAAAAAGAAAACAAAAAGAAATTCAGAACTCCCCAGAAATGTACAGCTTTTACATTTAAAAAAGGTTCTGAAATATACATACAAGCATGCTGGACATTCCCCACCCTCCCACTCCCTTTAGCTGAAACAACTGTAATAATAATTCTGATTTAGGCATGATTTTCCAAAGTTAGAAATAAAAAAAAAAAAATAATAACTTTCTTCACTCTGTAGGAAAGCCAGGGCTTGTACATTTCAGATTAATTCAGTAAAAAACTCACAAGTAAAATAATGCATATTTAAGAGAAATATTATACAGAACTTTTCACACTGAAGTACATAAGATTTTTCTTTAAAATCTATTGCCATTCATTTATTTTGCACAAAAACGTATAAATATGTCACCAGCTTCTCTTAACTTAAAAAAATTAAATAAAAGACACCAGATGAAAACTACTCCTTGCTGCCCTTTTTTTAATTTCTAATTTTTGCTTAGAACCAGGTTTGTGGGGAAGAAACGCCCCTGGATAAAAACGGCCCATTTAAAAACAATAAGCAAAATAATAATCCAAAGTTCAGATGAATCCTGGGAACAAATAACCCCCAAATGGTAAAAGATTACAAATGTCTACTTTACATTTTTTTCCTCCCCAAGTTAAATTTTTTATACAAGTTTACAATCTTCATCTTTTTATGCTCTTCAAAAGGCCTTGAGAATTTTCTTTTCTGATTAAGAAAAAATAGTACTGCAATATTTTTAAAGTCAATTTTACACTGTACACATTAGATACAAATGGTTTGATATCAGATTTTTTTTTAACCTATACATTGCAAAGAGAACACCCACACGGAGGGGTGGAGCAGGGAAGGAAATAATCCATTTACAGGTTCCTCTCCTGCCTTCACCTTCTCATTACACAAACAATTATTTTTTTTTTCTTTTATTATTTTATATAATTTGTTTTAAATGTTACATTATCTCAAGAAAAATACTTTTTAAAATCATAGAATTTAATTTTTTTTAACCAGAACATGAAAGTCTTTTGGAAGAACTCTAAACTTGGTAGTTTTTCTTCACAGCCAGGGGAGGGGTCACCAAGCCTGATCCAAGTGCCTGACCCTGGCCCCCTCCTGCTGCCCAGTGCACCCCCAGAAATGAGGGAATGGGGCTGGAATAGGAACCCCTTGGAGCCTGGAATGAAGGAGTCATAAAAATACTTCAATTAGCCATTAACCTTCCCAATGGCGATCATTTCACTAAACAAAGTAACTTTGCCACCACAGTGGTGTAACTTCAAGTACTAATTTAATGATATAATTTTTAAAAATTATTTCTTTGAAATAATATTCCTATAGTCAGAAAAAATACACCAGATTTGTGACTGATTTAGTGTAAACAAAAACCATATTTTTGGATATGTACATGGACGAGTCTGCCCAGAATTAAAGGGCAACTTGGCTTTCAGTAAATACTTTTCTAGCATCACTAAATTTACTGGAAATATATTTCAATCATAGCTCTACAATAGATTAATTTACCACTTTCCACTTGCCCTGGCACTGGGCTTTAAAGTATTTTTCCTCCCTACCTCCCTCTCACTCTTCTCCCTTAGCTAGTGTTATCCTTCATTAAACACTGGCCAGTCCTTGCTTTAGCCAGGCTAAACACAGGGGAGAATTCCTTAAAATACAAGATATCCTTACCAGAACATGCTTCCCTTCCCAGACTTTGATTGTTATGAGCTTTACTTTTGATTTCCAGGTCAGAAGAGTGAGAGGTCTGCAGATAAATAACCCTACAGTGGAACGGAGCTGGATTTTTAAGGTATTTCTACTGTTCCTGGTCCTTTATAATTTAATCCCTCCCCAAACCTAAAAATAAATAAAGTATCTCCAGACCATTCATATCTACATGGACAGGTAACAAATGCATGCATTCATCCCAATCCACTCTGACAGGAACTCCAGGTAGACAGAAAACTCCAATATTTATACGAGACTACAACTGTGTGGTTTTGTGTTTGTGGTTTTTTCCTCCTGCAAAGTCCCCGTTTACGATGATCAAACAATGAGACACCCGAACCGGTCGCTACAAGGTGGTTTTTACTCGCAGGGCTGACACTGCTCGTGGGTCTTTATCAGTTCCTAATGCAAAAAGATCCTGTAGTCTTCCTTAAAAAAATAAAGTATTAAAAAAAATAATCACACTGACCAGTAGTTACTGAGCCACCAAACTAACACTGGCTTGAGGTTACTCTGTGTTCACTGTTCTTGGATGTTCCCAGATTTTGGACTGAAGCTGCCAGAGATGTTAATGGGTAGTTTAGTTTTGAACACTGCAGAATTCACATGTGCTTTTGGAGGAACAGAAGCACAGCACAGGACTGGTCTGAAGAGAAGCAAACGGAGCTCTTTGCAGGTCGTGGCACGTTCCCGGGCGGAGGGGAGAAGCAGCCAGAAGAACAAGTGCTTGTTGTGTCCTACAGGATGTTCATGATGGCGTTGTAGAGCTGGGTGAGCACCACGAAGTGCACGGGCAGGCAGGAGCTGCGGTCCTGCGTGGCCGGGTTACACGTGAGCCAGGACAGGGCGTTGTACTGCTCCAGCACAAACCTGCACAGCGAGGCACAGACATCACAGCCTGCCCTGGGGGAGGTCATGGGCTCTCCTGGACCTACACCCTGACACTGCTGCCAGTGTGTTGGCAAAGGAGGAACCTCACTGAAAAGCAGGGGGTTTCGCTTTGCTATGTCTGAAATATTTGCATGAAGGCCCTCCCAAACACACACAGATTCTGGACTCACAGTGGTTCAAAATGCCACCGCTGTCAAAGCCTTGGGGACTGAACACCTCTGCCTCTCTGGGCACCCTGTATTTGCTCACACTGTTCCTGTGATCCTATATCTAATTACAGTTTCTCATCTTGTAACTTGTGGCTGTTGCATCTCATCCTTTCCTGTCCATTGCATTCTTGTTTTAACTCAGTACCTGGGACACTGTGAAAGTTCAGTCCTCCAAGAGGATGCAAATTCAGATCTTCTGGAATAGTACATCCCCAATTTCCTTAGATTAGACATTTCTGTTCCCTGCTGATGTTTGTTCCCTGGGGTGTCCCACACTCTGTGCTCTCATCACACAGATCTGTGTCTAGTCCCCAAAGGTAGGATGGAAGCAAACAGGCCCCACATAATTCTGAACAATAAAACACACACCCTGCATGCATTCAGGAACAGTGTCTCCTTTATATCCCAGTCCTAGCACAGTGGTATCAGGCAGTGCTTTTATCTCCTACAGATCCATTTGGTTTAGTGAGGTAAGATAATGAGTGGCACAGCTTAGATTAGATGCCAGGGGAACAGAGCAGTCTGGGTGAGGGGCAAACCATGATGTCCCCCGGGCAAGGCTGAGCTGTTCTGAGTTTCCTTGGCATCATTGTGAACAGCAGAGGGAACCCACAGAATTCCCCCTCAAAGCCCTGCACTGCCATCTGAGGAGGAGGAGGAAATGCCCCAAGACAGATAGGGTATGGCAAGGCTAAAAAGTGCTGATAAAACTGACAAGTAATTGTGATAGGTTGGAAAAGTTATTCTGAAACCTCTAAGCTCAGTCCCCAAATGTTTAGGGCAGAAATGAAAACCTAAAGGGTGTTACCTCAAGACATCTGATGTAGTTTTAGAGTCGAGGGGGTGAGGAACTCGCTGAGAATTTCTCGCAGGTAGAAGCTCGTCTGTCTGCGCTACAGAGATGTGGTGATGGAGAGAGGCCTGCAGAGGGAAAGAGCAAAACTTAACTCCTCATACAGCAGGTACTTGCTAAAGATTGCCAAGAAACATCCATTGTGAATCACTCAGGACAGTGTGGGAAGTTGGCAATTCTGTGTTGAACCCCCCATGACCACATGTGTTTCCAGATTAATGGTAACATTTTTGAACATTTTGAATTTTCCAGAACTGCAGAACTGGAGTGGGAGGTCTCAGGTTCACTCTGACACCACAGACTCCAATTGCAGCTTTTAAAGACATGGAAATAGCAATGGATAATGAGTGCTCCATGTGGAGTATGACAAACCTTCAGGAAGAGGGGACACTGGTTCTGTGCCTGAGGACAGGAGGACCAGAACCACTGCGGGAGGTTCTCAGCTTTGGCAGTCGACACAAAGTATCCCAGAGCCAGAGGCTGCTGCTTCAGCTCTTCGGGGGCTTCCCTGGAGAGGAGACGTTCACCTTGGCTCTGCAACACAGGGAAAAGGCAGCTCTGAGGGTGTTGTCACCTGGAACGGTGACTTAATTTGCTAATTACTGTCCTGTGACAAATGAGCCCTCCTTTAGTCAGTCAGGAATCTCAGTCAAAGTTATCCAGGCCCTGCCTTATTCCCCTGCAGTTGGGTTCTCCACGCTTATGCACTGTAGAGCAGTTCATCCATAAATGTCAATAGGTTGAAAGAAAAAGGCAAAGATTCCACTGCACAGAAAGCAGCTCAATTACAAATCCCTCCCTGCCAAACCCTTGCAGTGTGTCTGGACAGGAATCCAGGGGAAAAAGCCTGGAGCAGGTGGCACTGGGAGCCCAGCACACGGGGCCGGTGCCCAGCCATCAATTATTGCCCTGACCCTGGGCCCACGGGGGGATGATCACACACTGCTGCTCTGTTAAAGCCAAACATTACACTGCAATTACCAGGCCTGGCTTAATGGTTAATGGGAATTACTCAGGTTCAGCTGGAAGGGGCTTGTCCAGGCCTCTGGGCTCAGGCCATGAACCTCCCAGGGCTGCTCCCAATGGATATAGCTCCACTGAAAGCAAGCTCTGCATACAAGTGGGACAGAAAGGATTGCTGAGGGAATTGGGGAGAGAGAGAGTGAGGAGTTGTGATTTATGGCTGCAGGGTTTGGCAGCAGAATTTAGAAGTTTTCATTTGCCCACACACCAGTTTGAATAACTGGGACAGCAATGTGCTGTTATCAAGCCTTTGATGGGAGAGTTGTACAATCCATACAAGGTGGTTGAGGACTGAGCTCACAAAATGCAGGATTAGCATTTCTGTGGCTGAGACAGGAGGCATTTCTCCCTCATTGACTGTATTAAAGCTGCACTGAGGCATTTTGGCAGAGTTTGCAAGGAAAATACAGGTAGGACTTTCTACTTCCAGGGGTGAAACTACCACCATTTGGTCAGTCATGTTCCGGAGTTGGAATTCTGATCTTGAGACATCTTGGTCAAAAATGGTAAAAAAGTTAACCTGTTTCTCTCATAAAATTCTGTATTATTTAATAAAGAAGTAATACACTACTACTTTAAACTTAATACTTTTAGAACAAAACTTCACAGAAACTTGTGAAGCATAAAACTTCTACCTAATTGTGATGGAAACCATTTTAAGAGAACAGCTCAGTCTTACATGATAAAGTGTAGGAGGGAAGAGTTCCATCAAACCTGATCCAAGCTATGCCAATTAAAAAAAATAACTTGAATTACCAAAAATAATTTGCATTTTAAGTAATCACTGATGTTGGAATTGACTTTATAAAAGCCACTTCAAACAAAAATAACTCCCAAATGCTGTTTGCTCTGGGCTAAATATTCCTAAGAAAACAACATCTCCATAACCATCCAGCACCTGCAGAGTTTCCATTGGCAGAGTTTCATCACTGGAAGAATTCTCTCCCTTTTGCCTCCCTGAAATCCACGAGAGACAGGGCTATCACAGTTTCCCTTCTCTCAAAGACTTGTCACTTCGTTCCAGGGACATTCCATAGGATTTTCCAGGAAAGAATGGATGAGTACAGATTAAATCTGTACAGGGTCATCGGCTATGGCTGTGCCACACAAAAATAAAGCTGCTCTCCTCCTGCTCTCTCCCCCTCAATTATCTACCAAAAATTAACTTGGAGGGTGCAAACAGCCAATGCAGAGACACCTCCAGCAGTATTTAACCTTCAATTTTAACATAATTTTTGCCTGCTGTTGACCTTATTATGTGTCAGGATCCAAAGGAAAAAGATGTTTTGGAGGATCTGGGTCTTTCTTTATATTTTATTTTAAGCAGCATGTGCCATATGGTGCTCCAGAGCCTTACCCTACTGTGATGGTAGTGAGATCCCACTCCAGTGCCAGATGGTGATCCAGGAGAAGGAACTGGGGAGGAATTTGGTGAAGAGTGAAGATTCCCTGTTATCAAAATTCTAATGTCATTGTCCATGTCATCTGGGAATGGGAGGTCAAACATGTCATCTGAAAAGGAAAAGAAAGGAAAATAATTTTCAATGTACTATACTCTTTTCTCCAATAATTTTTTAAAATTTATTACCTTTCCCTTTAATTTATTATCATTCCCTTTCTTCTTTTACATACTCCTAAGACAGATGAAAGCAGAGATAAAGACTTTACTGTTTAATCCCCCTTAGAACCCTTGACTGCAACCACAGATATGAAAGGGAGAGTTGGCAGGCAGCTATTGTGATAATGAATTCTAGCAGTGAACAGAGTGAACAGAATTCCCATCGTAGCACCTCCATAAAATCCAGACTGATTTTTGTAACAGAGCAACTGACACTTCTGTGAAGCTGGTCACAGAGACCCCTTAACAAAACACTTGGAATCATCATACACAGCTCCATGTGCTGCTGCCACAAGTGCTGCTCCTCAGGCTCCCAGAGCTGCACCCCAGCTCCAGCCTCTGGGAACAGCCCTGGCAGCTCCAGGGAAACTGCCCTGGAATGTGTGAGGGCAGTAAGGCCCTGCTCACAGCAAGGGACTCGTGATCCTTTCAGACACTGCACCAGGATCCCCAAAAAAGCAGCCTTCATATCCCACTTTCATCTCAGGAGTTCCACACATCTTGTTAGCATAACTGGCTGGATTAATTTGGTTTATGTTAATATGTGGGGAGGGCTAAAGATACAGGGAAGACGTGTTTGCCTTGTGCATTCCAACACTCATCATCTGCACACAGGTTACAATACCCTGAGTAAGTTATGGGAGGGAAGGATAACGCACCATGAACACAGCCAAAAATTACAGCATCACAGTTTAGATCACAATCTAAATTGAAACAATCTTAGTCTAGAGGGGTTTTTCTTACCCAGATTTCTCAGCAGGCAAAGAAATCTCCAAGTGTATAATGACATTTAAAGTACATTTTAGTGGGTAGACAGGGACAGTGGGAGTTGTCTGAATTAACTGCATTGATTAGAATTGCAACCAAATTTATACTAAAACACAAAGCCCTTAATAGAAGTAATGCATCCTACATATAATAAATAACAATTTCTCTTGAAAAAGATGAATTTACGCTGTATAAAATGGAAAAGTATAAGTGTCTTGAACTAATTTCACCTGAAACCCCAGTATTGAAATAGGCAGGTAGTTCTTTTCCTTCATCTCCCAAAGAGAACCTCTGGATTGCCAGAGCAATGCTTTAACTGAAGTTTATTAACTTCTGTCCTACAGCCTCAGTAAACAAACCAGAGCTAATATCATGCTCTGCTTGGCCCCCAGAGCAGAAATGAGCTCGCTAATGGCATAGGATGCAGCTTAATCATTAAGTAGAGCAGAGTTAAGAAAATTAAATTTAACACCATTTTGGAAAAGGCCATTCTTGTACCTGACTCTAATTAACATCTGCAGCACCAACGGGCAGGTTAATGCAGGTTAATGTTTGTTGTGCTCGGGAGGGATCCCAGTGCCTCCTGGGATAGGGATTGAGAGGGGCAACTTCCCTTCAGAGGCCCTAGGACATTCCAGGAGGGACAGACCAAAGCCTTAAAAGCAGTAGCCTGCCTTTCTCTCTAGTCCAGCTGCCCTCCTCATTAATACAGCCACTGTACATGTTTGTAGCTACTCTTGGTTTAAATTGCTTTGCACTCATTTAAAGGATTTGGGACAAAGAAGGAAAATGCTTATTTGTATATAAAGCATTAACCAGAGTCTTGCTGACTCAGATTGCAGGTTCAATTTAAAAGCACTCTGGAGGCACCAGGGAATCTCAGGTTGGGCTATTTTCCCTACTCAACCACAAGTGCCTCCTTCCTGTCAGCTCTGCACGAACAGGGCACAATATGAAGCACGATTGGAGAACAGCAGCTGGCCCAAGCAAGTCACAACAAAACAAAGCACATTGTGGACTGTGCCACTTGGTGCATTGGCTGCTCCATGTCCCTTTGGGAATAACCAGTGTGACTCTGAAAACACACTCAGAGAAAAGCACAGAGTCTCCCCCTATAGCTAAAGCCCTGCATGGTTCCCTTACCGGGGTGGTGTGGGGTCTGTGCAGAGCCCTGGCCCCCTCGGGGGTTTATCCCTGCCCAGCTCAGCTCTGCTGACACCCTGGAAAGGCCCCAAGGGATTCCCCTCCCACTCACCGTTGGTGGGGCTGAAGCCATCCTCGTTGGGGTAATTTGCAGGTGCCACCTGGATGGTGGCAGAGGTGGGGAACACCAGGATGTGTGTGCAGGAGGCGTCCTGGGGGGTGTTGAGCTGGGACGACTGCAGGTTCAGCGCCGTGCTGCGCCCGAACACCGAGCCCATCGTCACCGCGTCTGTGGGGACAGGAAATGGCACAGGGGTCACTGCATCGCCTCCCAAACACCTGCTGTGTCCAGGGACACCTCTGCCAACCCCGCCTGCCCTGCAAACTTCACAGACACGGCTGAAGGGCCTTATCTTCAAAAGATTACATTGCTGCAACAGCCTGACATTAAGACCACCAGCCCCACCTCTCCTGTCATTCTCCTGCCCCTTAATCAAATATTTACTTGTTAAATGAGCAAGTTAAATTGATTTTTCATGCACATCTCAATAGAATTATGAAATACACCCCACACAAACACAAAAATAAAGCCACACAACAATAAAGCTTCTCTCTCCTCCTCCTCTATTCTTCTCAATTATTAACCAACAATTAACTTGGAAGGTACAAATAGTCAATGCAGAGACACCTTTTCTGCAGTATTTAACCAGCACCTTCAATTTTAACCTAATTTTTGCTCGCTGTTGATCTAGTTATGTGTCAGGATCTAAAGAAAAAAAATTTTGTTGAAGGATTTGGGTCTTTCTTTCTGTTTTACTGTGATATGAAAAAACCTTCATTTGCCATCTGTTTTCTCACATTACAAAATCTCTGCTTTGAAAATATGCAACATGGTAAGTAATTTTCAAGCTCAATTAATTCTGCTCTGTATTAGTCTTTTCTTTGCAAACTTAAAAAACCCAGAGTGGTTTGTAAGGATATGTTAAGGATGTGTCACCACATACATTAAAAAGTACGTGCTTAGGTAAAACAACAAAGGGAATATTAAATTAATTAAAATTTACTTCAACTTAAGCTCACGGACTGCTGGTTGTAAGTGAACTCCCTAACTAACTTCAGCATGTGAGAAGGCAAGTGGGCTTATTCCCATTTCCACAGGCTCCTACTCGTTCCCACTGCAGCCTCCTCCGTGCATGAGGGTGTCTGTGACACAACTTCCAGCCCATGGGAACTGGGCTACGTGAGCCCATGGCCTCCCCAGGGAACAGATCAGCACTTTGGCAGTGGCCCACAGTCACCTTCCCTCAGGAGACTGCTCTCCCCACATAGCATCTCTCTCTCTCTGGTATTTTGGGGAATTCCACTGGCTCAACCTATTGTCTGCCACACACAGCCATGCTAGTCAAGTTCTTCACAGAAATCCCAAGATTATGGTGCCCAAGTGTGAAATGTGATAAAGAACAGTTTTGCTGGCATTGCCATGGTTGGCTAAAACATACCTGGCATCACCACGAATGATCCCTGTGGCTCCATGGCAACGAGGCAGGCACTGAGGATGGAGGGGGAATCTGCTGCAGAGATGCCACACATGCGGCAAACCTCCTTCAGCTGCTTGCTGATTGTCTGCAGGGAGCACTCCCCGAGCAGGATGCTCCAGTCTGCAAGGGAAAAGCACCATGGGAGGATAGAACTCATGCAGAGCCACCACTCGTCTGGAAACAGCAAAACATTCCCAACACTTGGCACTTCCCTAATCCCAAATGCCTCAGGACTGACTCCTGTGCACATGAGGGGTCTGGCCCCACAGAATAGGTGCCTGAGCAGTTCCTGTGGAATGTTTTATTCCAGGGTCTCTTGGCTTTCCTTTGTTCAACACGTTTTTTTTTCCAAGACCTTTTTGTTTGTTTAGCAACATTTGAGGAATCACAACTGAATCCTGTCTCTATTCCTGTGTCAGGATAACTTCATTCAGAACTTTTTCTAGCATGTGATAAGGCCTCCAACTTCCCCTGGAAAGACAGTGTGCAAATCCTGCACAACACAAGGGAGTAGCATAAGACTCAGGGCACAAACAAGGAAAGTTTTGTGGAAACCAATACAGGAATTCAGTGCCAGGGCAGGACTGCAGCCAGCTCTCCTGTAATCTGTGCTGTCATGGCCCAGGAAATTCCAGTTTGAAGGATCCTGGTGATTTCTCTGCCAGGTACTTTTATACTCAGATTCACTTGGTCCCTCAGCAAGTCTGCAGGTTATGCAAAACTGAGAGGAATGGCTGAGTCCCCATCCCTGGAAGTGTTCAAAAGGTGTGTGAATGTAGCACTTGGGGACATGGGGAACAGCTGGACTTGATTAGCTCAGAGGTCTTTTCCAACCTAAACAATTCTGTGGTTATGTGATTATCACTCTCAATTTTTTAGTTTGAAAGGTTTATGATCAGGTCTGAGCCATTCTGCCTCGCACCCTGGGTCCCTGTCCCACTCCACACCCTGGGAGTGGCAGCCCTAACAATTGCACACCTTTCAGCTCCCCGTGGCCCAGCCGGCCCAGGCGCCCAATGACGACTCTCCACGGCAAGGATGTCATCTGGACAATGCCAATACACCATTCCCAGAGCTTCTGCAGCCCAATCTTCCGGGCAGACAACTTGCTCCTCCTTGACCTGGAAGGGAAGGAATTACAAATAAGAGTGAGAGGAGAATCAAGGACAAAATTCCGATTTCTGTTCTAATTATGTCACTGTTTACCCTCTACAGAGGTCTGGGCAGTCCCTACCTTACCTTTTACTACTACTAACAAGTAAAACCTAGGTGTCTGCTTTCAGTACTATTACTGCAGTGCCATCAAACTGCTGAGCAACACACCAGATGTTCCTCAAGGGAATATTTTTAAACAAACCAGTTGTAAAAGAAACTGTAAAACAAGTGTAACTCAGTTGCTTTTCCCTGTGCAGATCGGAAAATCTAGAAGTGCCAACTGAAATGTTCTCACTGTAACACCAGCATGATCTCCTGAGCAGGAAAGGGGAAGGCAGGGATGTGCAAGGAGCTGGTGAGGGATGACTCCAGACATGGATCCATGGGAGAAGCCAAGGGCAGTGAGTACCTGCTGGGCAGGTCGATGTTGACAATGCAGGTCTCCAGCAGCTCCCCGTGCAGGTCGGTGCAGGACGCCAGGAGCCAGCGCTGGTCATGGGACAGGCAGTACCCGACAAAGAGCACGTTGTATTTCTGACTGGCCTCTCCAAATGTCTCTCCCAGCTCTGTCTGCTTGTCTTTGATGGGGGCCAGGATGAAAGGAGGTGAGTACAGCTGGATTGGGCTGGGCCTCTGCAACAGAGTCAGCACAACCATCAGCTGATAGATCATAAACACAAGGAACACACACACACTGGCAGCAAGTACAGAGACAGGCAAACTTGAAACGAGTAAATTCAAAGCATTCCTAGTGAGGAGGGAGATTGGGAAAAGGGGGGTTATAGACAATTCACTGCTGCAGTTAAAGCTGATGCACTTCAAACCTATCTAAAGATTTCTTTTTATGTACAGGTAACCCAGGGTATGAAAGCAGTCTTTGGACCAGTCTCTGAAACAGGCAGGAGTTTAAACCCACTTCTGTCCCTTAATCATCTTTAGGCCCTTGGCTGGATTTGCTCCAGTGCATCTGAGTTTCTTGTTCTGAGGAGCCCAGAAGGGAGGAGAGCAAGCACCTCCCTGGTTGTGCTGCAGTATCTTCCAAAGGCAGCCCAACTGCTGCTCCTTGGGACATCCATCATGTCCAACAGGATCTCCAGGTCATCTTCTGCAAAGCTGCTTCCCACATGGGCATCCCAAACCCATCTTTGCCTTAGAACTCCTCTCTGGAGAACACACAGGAAGGGCCTCACCAGACATGTTCCATAATTAAAAAATGGTCAGGGTATTTTTTCTTAATTCTTCAGCAAAGTTTGGGAGTCTGCAGTGCAGACTGAGAACAAATGTGTAAAGTGCAATAAATAGAGATTAATTAAATGCAGTAAGTAAATGCCAATAAGTTTGGCTTTGCAAGTAGGTTTTTAAACCCTCCTAAGCAGCACTTTATGCCAAGGTAAATTGGTCCATTAGATTTAAATAAAATATTCACAGTTATCTTTCAAAGAATGCAAAACATTCATAGAAAGTAGGATGGATTATTCTTCCTTTGAAATCCCTGAAATTCCTGAATCAAGGCTTTAGTATTTACTTAAAATAGATAAAAGATAAGCTCATTGAAGAGGGGGATTTCTCCATTACCTCAGGGAATTAATATAACATCTGCAATTAGGCACAGGAACTTACTTCATATATATGCATATATATGTGAATAGAAATAAAAGTTGAGTTAAACTCTGGTTGGAGCACTGTAGACTGAAACCACAAAATGACTCAGAATCCCAGTGAACCATGTTCATTTTCTCTTCTTTCACACTTTAACCTTTTATTTTATGACTCAAAACCAGAAGCTTAAAATGTTTAGAAAGAAAGTTAGCCTGATGTTTTTGTTATTATTTTCTATTCCATATTAGCTCGCCTTTTCCCTTTATATCATCATTATCTTCTATACTTTGAAAAAAATCCCCCAGCAAGTATTTTCTCTACTTTTTGATATTTGTGGAAAGTGGTTACCGTTTATTAACAGACTTGGATTTTCTTGCCACCAATACCAACCTCAGGATTTTTGAGGGTCATCTCAATGCTGGCAGCTGGCCCAAAGCCTGTGAGGGACTTGATGTGGATCTGTGTGGGCAGGGGCCTCCTGCACTGACAGTACACAGAGAACGCCAGAGACTTCAAGTGCTGAATGTAGAAAACCTGTTCATCCTTCATTGTCTGCAGCATGTACTGGCAAGGCACAATCTGTGGAATTCAGACACACAATAAAACAGGGCTGAGAGCCTTCCAGGAGTTGCTCATCAATATCCAACCAGATCCACACAGTCATTAGTCACTGAACACACAGCACACTTTGGGATGCTCCACGATTTGCATTACAGGTTCCTTGGCAGGGACTGCACTCTCTGGGACAAAACTCCTTCCATCACAATGAGAGTGAATTTTAATCCATAAAACCCAAACACCTGCATTCAAACACCCTGAATTTTTTTCGAAGTGTTTTTGTGGGCAGTATCTTCACTTGCAGGTGACCTGAACACAAACCCTGAACAGTGTTCAGACAGGTTTGGCTCCATGGCTCATGGTCAGGGTTGGGAATTGTTTGCTGCCTTTGTGGAAATTGGCATTATGGTGTCATCCTTAGAGAGGGGTGTAGAGGGCACAATTAAGATTCAGTTACAATTATTTGTGGGGTTGTTTCCCCTTTTCAATTTAGTTTCCAGTGGAAGCTCAGCAGCCTCAGCTGCTGCTCAGTTTATTTGTTTCAGAAAGTCATGGGAAGAAGCCCAGAAGGATTCACAAGTTTGACAGCAAGAACCAGAGCTACAGGGAGATTTGCCTGGGAGATGAGTTTGGGGGTTAAGACCCAACTACACAACAAAAGTAGGAAGGAGAAATGGTACAACACTCCTTCAGAAGGAAACAAAGTCTGATCAAACCTATTTTGAAATTAGAATTAAATCCTTGTAACCTCACTGTTTTTATCTACTGGTTTTATTGTACAAATACCACTTGTGGCTGTTGAAGTATCTTTCCTTCTACAGTGAGATCTTTGGAGCAGAAGATGTCAATATAAAACATTTACATTGTAGCTACCACTACAGGACTCAAACATATTCTTTCAACAAATATTTTCAGTAGTAATAAAATTTAAGTGTCACAAAACTTTTATTACTTTATGGTTCTTGCTTGAACCTTTAGAACCTTGGCAGCACATTCTGCTTACTAAATGTGCCTGTGTGTTTTTAAAAGCCAGCTTTACCCAAGGATTTCAGAAGCTGAGCCTTCCCCCTCTGTACAGGAACGGTAATAAAGCTGCAAACATTTGGGTTTGATTTATTTTGAAGTAACTGCATGTTGTGTGTGCTGTAGTACAGCTGTGAGAATACAGTGCTGAAACTGGATCATGTTTCCCTTGACTTAGAGAAAATTGCTGTTTTGACTTAAACTGGCAAAATGTATTTTGAGGAACAAAAAGTGAATGTGGAAACAAACAGCACTGAGAAAAAGGGTCAGTGTGCTACAGCCTCAGCTCCAATGGCAGTGCAGAGGTTACATGGTTCTTGTGTTTCAGACACCGTGGTATCAGTGGCTGCTTTGGTTTTAGTATCTCCAGGTCTGGATCAATCAGCTGCCTGCAGCCTACTACAATATGAAGTTGTGGATGTGATTTCCAGTTCATCCCCAAGCCTGAAATATTTTGGTGACAGTTTCCCCCTTCCTTTCAGGGGACAGTGAGGCCAGAAACTATCAAAAACAAGTTTTCCATGCCCAAACTGAGACACAAGAACTTTTAATTTTTTAAAACAAATTTGAAATACCTTTAAACCAAGGTGAGCAGACATGGATAAGGTGCACAGAAATCCTTCCCACACTGTTCCTGCCTGTGCCCTCTGGCCTCCCATTGCCCCCACATTGATTGAGGCTCAGCCTCTGTGACAGGAGGCCTGGCAAAATGCAGCCAGCCTGGGCAGGAGGCCAAGAACTGCCTCTGGCTGCACAAATTCAATTCTTCAGCAATTCCATAGTAAGTAACTGTTTTTATATGCCAAGTTACATGGTAAATTATTTTTAAGAAGCAGATAATAACAATACAATAGTCATATTATACATTAAATGTCTGGCTTCATGTATTTCTTTTGGATTAAATAGTATAAATCAAGGGAATATAAACAGCAAACGACTCAACATGTAAAGAAATCAAAGGAGCAACTGGCCAGTTTTGGCAATGGCAACTCAAGTTACAACTTAAATAATTGAAATCCCTCTCCAGGAAGCATTGAGCAAACAGGATTGCTGGGACCACGGGACAGATTCAATGCAGGGATACTGTGGCTGCTGTAATTAATTTCCTCATCAAAACAAACACAAGGGGTTGTTTTAATATATGGATTTGTACTGTCAACAAAATAATTTGTAAACGCCACCTACATTTTATGCATTATTTCTCATTTATCTCTTTTAGCACAGTGCCCATATCACAGATGTGCTGTGACAGAGTCTCAGTGTGAGGATACAGCAGAAGGCAGAATTACCTGGAGAATGAAAGAATTCCTCATATTCTCAGGCAAGTTGTCCAACATTTCTGTGTAGCATCTCATGAGGCTCAGGAGCCAGAAGTTGGTGGAGGCAGACTCCTCATCAGCAGTGTAGGTGAAGGGATCCACCATGTAGATGACCACAGCAGGGGGGTAGGCGTTGCTGTCGGCAGCGTCCGGCTCCGTGGGGATCCCGATGCGCTCCCGCTCCGACGTGCTGGGGGCAGAGACACAGGGTCAGTACTGCTTGTGTCTGCACCAGGCTGGGCCGGGGGAAGGAAAGCAAAGCTAAAACCCATGAGAACAGGTATTGAGATGAGTTGTGCTCACAGCAGCTCCTAATCCAAAATAGCAGTTAATTAGGCATTAAAGGTACCATACCGTCTAACAGCATCTCACTGAATGCCATCAGAACAGCTTTGACCTGAAGAATGTGGAAAAGTTGACTCCTTAGCTGTGTGTCTTTTCATGTAGGTGCATGTTTGGGTTTTGGTGCAGTTTAGGGTTTGCTTTAGGGAGAAGTGGAAGGGGGAGAGTAGGAATTTAGAAGTGCCAAAGCAATTCATGGAGCCTAGAGTCCTGCTCAGGTCCAGGGAAGGCTCCACTGGTAACAGAACGAGCAATTGAGAACTTCTTACTAGGTAAAATGCTCCTCCCATGCCTCAGCCAGGAGAGACAGGCTCAACATCTGTAAGTGATGAAAGCAGCTCAGCCTCTGTCAGAAGCCCCTGCAGCTGTTCAAAGGGTGTTTTGCACAGATCAGGGAACAGATGTCTCAAGGACCAGCCCAGCTACAGCAGGATGTGGGTGTTTCCCTCTCTGTAACACACACCAGGACTATCAGCAATGTGCATTATTATGAGAATAATGAAAAACATGCTGCCTTAGAAAGTTACTTACATACAATGCTAAAAAACCTTTTCTTAATTTTATGTGATGGATGGCTATTCATAATGAAGTCTTTAAAAAAGTTGTGCTGCCTAAATTTATATTAAGTAACAGGACTACAATTGTGTCTCCTGACCTCACAGTGTGCCTGCTTGCAAAACAACACCTGCAATGCAAAAGAATTGGGAAAAAAAATCATGGCTTGCATTTTGCATCTGTTAATGTTGCAGGTGTGACGGAGCAAGAGGCACTCAGCTCCATGGGGTACCTGCAAGTGCCGAGCCACAGGTGTGGCACAGGCCCTGACACCCCCACGTGCTCCTGGTGCTTCAAGGACAGGGCAGGTGGAGGGGCCCAAGGCAGCTCCACATCCATGCAGCTCAATCAGGCTGGGATTCCTGTGATGAAAAAGGGGCTGGGCGTTTTTTCCTGCTCCCCTTTATCAGTGACTGCTTCAACAGGAACAGGTCCTGCTCTGCTCCCACCTGCTCGGCTGTGCTGCACCTGTCAGAGGGGCCTCTCCTTTGAAGGGTTCCCCTAAGGCTTAGGGGCTGTCTGAGCACAGGACAGGGGATCAGTGAGCAGCACATTGAGCCACACAAGCACTTCACTTACCCTTCCTGTCCCTCTTGCTGCTGCTGTGGTAGGTTGGGGCCGGGCTCGGTGTCTGCCCCGGGGCCCGCGCTGCCCTGCGAGCGCTCGGCCGTGCCTCCCGCGGCGCCGCTGCTCTGGCCCGAGCCGGCGTTGCCGCTGAAGCCCGGCGTGGAGGACGTGCCCATCTGGCTGGCGCCGGGCGTGGCAGAGGACGCTGACAGCTGTGGCACCGAGGAGCCCGAGGAGGAGGCGCTCCCTGCCGGAAGGCTCGTGGTGCCCGCGCTGGGCGTGGAGCTGAAGGAGCTGCCCGTGGCAGGGGCCCCGGCCGCGGCCGAGAGACACGAGGAGGAGCTGGAGGGAGCGGGTCCCGAGCTGCCGGGAGCTGCCTGCGGCTGGCTCGGAGCCGGCGTTTGGTACTTGGGAGGCAGCAGGAGGCTGCTGTCCAGCTGCAGGGTGGCCAAGTAAGGTGCTGGAATGGCATGGAAAGAGAGATTAATGACAGCCAGATCAAAGGAACCTGCATCAACCTGCAACTCTGATGACGCTCCCTGCACTTTTACAACATTCTAAGAGTATGCAAATGCTAAGAGAATGGAATCTCCACGAACAATGTTCGCTTAGGAATCCATTTTTCAGGGTATGAGTTTGAACTGATATGAATCAATTGTCTTTAAAACCAGGACTGAACTTTGCAGGGCTTTATAACTTTAAGCTGGGACTAATACGTTCTGCTCTCTGGCCAAACTGTGTGGCAATAACTGCACTGTATAGTGCCAAGCTCGGCAGTCTCTGACAGGTTATTTCTGTCAGGCTGGAAACCTTACAGTCGTTTATATCTGAGCTACAGTCATGGCAAACTTTAATGTAGTTATTTCTGCTGTGAGATACCACAGTGATAAATGAATATTTATTATTTATTTGCTGCCCGAGATGGTGTAAATCACCAGCAGAGAAGTTTCCAATGCTGGTTCAGAGGAGAAAGTGCCTTCAGGGTCTTGTGGTTCCAAGGATCCAAACACAGCAGACTGAGGCCCCAGGCACCAAGGACACCAGCACCTGATCTTCTGCCCCTGTGTTAACTCACTGCTCTCTGCCTTTGCAGAGTCCCAGTGACCTCCCCTCTCCTATAAACACGCCTTTACACTGGAGGCCACTGTGACACAGCTCTGTCACACACGTGTGATGAGATGTGTCAGCACCATTAAGCCAGATCCATGGACACCTTCAGTCTAATGTGGAACACCTGCTCCACCCCGAGAAGTATTTGGGTCCAGGTTGTAGAGGACTTGGAGCAACCTAGTCTGATGGAAGGCATCCCAGGGGGTTGAACAGGATGAGCTTTATGGTCCCCTCCAACCAGACAAGACTGTCATTCTGTGATCTTTGTGATACACAAACACCTTATACCAAACTGACTTTTCTAAAAAGATAAGAGTTTGAATCTCTGACACAATCCCTAGAGTTACAAACAACACAACTTTCTGAAGTAGGCAAATTTAACACGGAAGAATTTATGACAAAGCCTTATAGTATCATTTAAATTTTTGAACAGACCATAATGTGCACCTTTAGAAAACCCACACTGTGGGTTTGCATATGTCCCCCCCAGTCCCCAGAGCCGCGGGGTGTCACTCACCGAGGTGATGGCGGCAGACCTGCGCGTAGAGCTTGAGCCTGGAATGATTGTCACAGTCCTCGGAGCCCCAGGGCTGGCTGAACCACTCGCTCACCAGCTCGTCCGTCAGCTTCTGCGCCACGCTCTTGCCCACCTGCATGATCCCATCCCGCAGCACTTTGCAGATGGGCTTGTGCTGCCCAAGTCTGCACATCTGCCAGGGGAGGGAAGGACAAACACCCCTAAGGAGATGCCAACCACACCAGGAAGTTACAGAGACTTACAGTGGCTTAAGCCCCTCATTCTCAGCACACAGCTAGGGGCTTTTTAATAAATATCTAGGAAAAAAGGGTTACATCTGTTGGCTTGAACTACACTCATAGCAAAATTAAGATTACAAAGTAATCTGACATATTGCGGAGCAAATGCTAAAAAAATAAATGCTTTTATCCCCAACCTAGCAACTGTGAGAAAGCAGTAACTTCTTTAATGTGCTCCTTAGACTTGGTTGGGCATCACTGGGAGGCTGCAGCTCTCTTAATGCCCCTGCTGCCTCCTCTGTGAAATGAATGTGTGCAGGGAAGAGCAGACAGCAACAAACACCCCAAAATACCCAGAGAATCCCAGTGCCACTCAGCATTCATGGACTCTGAAAGTGCAGAAAGCCCTCAAAATGAAAAAAAAAAAAAACCTTCTTCAAATAATTGTTACTTTAAACCCCATGGATTTCTCCCAGTGGACATGCACTCGAGCAGCAGTGACACTTAAGAAGCAATAATTCAGTGTGGTCCCTCTTTCCAACCTCATATACAGCACTCAAGTCCCTGAAGAAAGTTTTGGCTCCATCGAGCAAGGCCTCATTTTCCGGACACACCACGATGTAGGCGACGTCCCGATGGCCCCCATAGGGGTCCAGCAGGAGCCTCTCCCAGAAGGGCAGGGAGAACGGAGAGATTGTCAGGAAGTCCTTGTCATAGCCCACCAGCAGCGTCGGGATCGGGAGAGGCTCAGGAGATTCCTCAGAGCCTTCACAGGAGAAAAAACAAACCAAGAAAAAGGGTTAAAATATCATTTTTAACTGCAGTGGGTCTCTGCTGGCCCAGGAAGCGAGTTCTTTTACAGGAATATTAGAAATCACTCATCCCTTGCTGTTGTGAGCATCCTACAGGCGTGGAAATGGTTATCAAGGGTGTGCCATGCCTGATAAACCATGTGCTGCCAGCCTTTCTTCTTGGAAAAGATATTTAATAAAGGAGAGGGAAGATTTATATTGTACTTAAGGAATGTCATATAATCAGAGTTGTTGGCCAAAGTGGAGGGAGCTGATCCAAGCACCACTTAAACTTTCCTAGAAAGCTGCAATAAAACATCTCCCAGTGTACTCTAAGCTCATGTACTTCCCTTCCCAAGGCTTCATCTCCTGGTTTTCCTTTGTCATATCCATAACCACAGCTCAGGAGTTCCTGTTCAATCACAAGTAATAATGGGAACACACAAAATATGACCTTACAGCTCTTCATCCACCTCCACCTGGTTGTGCAAAATTACTGATACTTAAGAGAAATTCATTCCCAGGTATATAATACTAGACAAAGTTATTATAATTCTAAAAATTGCCTCCTGCCCCTCTCCATAGGATGTGCTCCAAGCACTGCTGTCCCCACAGAGAGGATTATTATCCAGTGTAACAGGGTGTCTCCCAGATACTGCCTCAGTAGAAGAAATATTGCTGAAAATGTCAAGCTAAAATATACCCAGTCGTTCCTGCAGAATATAATTCAACTTTATTAAAAAGTCAGCATCCAGTAAAATTCACTGACTTTCCATCAAAGGCTCTGCTCTGTACTCTATGGGAATTTTGGTGTTATTCTCTGGTAACAATTGGCAAATCCTAACTCTTCAAATTACAAATGCTGGAAAAATTATTAGAAGTGTTCCTGGTGGGGCATAACAGCTTTAGACAGGAACTGGAGTTACCCCCAGTTGTCCCAGCCCCAAGGAAAGCAGCAATATATCAAACACCAATAGAGAGCAAAGCGTGGTGGAGCTGTAGGAAAAATATTAAACCAGACTGCAGTGGTTAAGCCTGAAATAAACTGCAAGCAAGAAATACAGATTGAAATGTCAGTCATTATTCTGCAAATCTGCACAGACAAAATCTGTTTTGCTATTTTGCTTTTTACAGAAGTGCCACTTACAGCCAGGAGATACTGAAACTGAAACTTCTCATTAAGGCTTTGGGAACCTGTGTGGAGAAAGCGTTCCCAGTTTTCTGGATTTGCAGAGCTCATACAGATCCTGTTCCCATTGTGATGTGGCTGATTCCAGCAGCTCCCTCTGCTCCCAGTATGTCTACACCAGCCTGCTTTGGTCTGAGCCAGGCCCCACCCTCTGGTGGGGAGGAGGGGGTGAGCCTCGCCCACAATTTCTGCTCCCTGTAAATGTGCAGCACCTGGAGGGGTTAAAACCTTCACCAGGGTGTCACAAAGGCCTTTTGAGGCGCTTTAAAGATCTGTGAAGAGTCTCCTCCCTGCTCCCCAACCTGTATGAACAGCCCCTTCCTATCATTTCCAGGAGAAAGTGCCCCTTTCTAGGAAGCTGCACTCTAACTTGGCACAGAGCCCAGTGTCAGTACCGTAGGTGCCCCGTCCTGCCATCTTATGGAACTGCTGCCAGGTGAGTGGTCCCTGCACGTGCTGGATGTTCTCCCAGGTCCTTCCCGTCCGCTTCTTCTGGATGGCATCCTGGAGAAAGGGCTGCAGGGAGAGCAGCATGCGCACCACGTCCTGGGAGGAGAGCATGCTGATGTCCAGCACTGCAAGGGACAAGGAGCAGCAATCACTTCAGGGAGGGACAGCAACCCCTCGGACACGGCAACAGCTTTTGGGGATTGTTCCTTGAATTGCTCTGCACATTGCCCATGGAACTGGGACAGCTCTAATTAGCTGGACGGCACTCAGTGTGGCATTTTCAAAAACACTGCTGTCACCACAGGCCTTTACACACACATTGCAGTGTTACTGGTGTCCAGCTCAGATCACAAGATGTAAGAGCATCTTCAGTATATAAGCAAGTAATTAATTACAGCTTTCCCCCCCACCTTGGTACTTTTACCCCTTTTCCTCCCAACTCAAACAGAGCTTTTCTTTTCTGCTGACTGCTTACACCCTTCTTCAAAATAGAAAAGGGCCTCCTAATTTTGCCTTCCCCCAAATACCTGTATTTGCTTCAGATTTGTGAACTTCCACAGACTCATTCCCAATTTAGGCCACAAAGTCTGAGGACAACTAGATTATTGGTACTTTAGATGCAATTTACAAGCTTTCAGAAACCTATTTTATGTTTAGCATATTTTTAGTCCTGTCATTTCCCACCTAAAGATTATGTGGGTCAAAACTAAACAAATTTACAGAGGTCACAAAACATTGAGAGACAAAGGCTCAGCTGTGCCCATACCGTTGCTGTGAGGCCAGGAATGGACAGTGGCACTTCGGACAAGGGCTTCGTCCACCTTGCCCCCCGTGGGGTTGTCCACGTACTGTCTGCCCTGCTCCAGGGCATTGAAACATTCCACCCAGGAGTCGTTGCTGTCAGCCTGCAGTCGGTCGTAGCTCAGGTTGACACAGGGCAGTGTCTGGCGGTTGTTGGAGGCCATGTAATCCAAGCAGCTCAGCGAGGTGAAGGGCTGCGTGTGCTGGTTCTGCAGCAGCAGCAGGAGGCTCATGGGAGGCTCCTGGCTCCTCCGGGCTCCCTCTCCCATCTGTGAGATCAAGTTGCTCTGGCAGATCATCAGTCGCCTTTCTGCAGCCTGGCCGATGTCCGAGGTCTTGCCGAAAATATCCAGCTCGTCCTCGATGAAGAGCCCGGAGTTGTAGCCGAGCTTGCGGTTCATGATGGCGCTGAAGCCGCAGGTGCAGCGGTACTGATCCTCGTTGGAGGAGTCGGGGATGTACAGCCCCACATCGGCGCCCTTGATGTTCATGTTGCAGGCGCAGATGCAGCAGCTGTCGAAGTTCCTGTCCTTGAAGATGTTGAGCACGGAGTCGGAGAGGATGAGGGTCACGTACAGGCTGTGCGCCTCCGGGATGGGCTGCACCGTGCCCGGCTCCACCGAGTTGAGCGGCCGCGTGGTGGAGGGGGTGGAGGCGGGGGAGCCCTGGTCCGTGCTGTCGTACTTGACGGAGCCCTGGCCGCTGGCGGTGCCCCCGCCCCGGGGAGTCCTGGGCGTGCGCGGCGTGCGCGGCGTGGGCACGGAGAAGCGCGGCGTGGCCGGGGACGGCAGCACCCCCGCGCCGCTGTTGCTGGCAGGGGCCGCGCTGTTGAGCGTCACCGGCGTGCTCATCTGCGGCGTGCTCATCTGCAGGTAGTCCTGGTCCGCCAGGCTGCCCACGCTGGGCACGTTGCTGCAGGGAAGGGATGGGAACAGAGACCCGTTCTGTCACAGCTCATTTTTAAATACAAGGAGACAGTGGAACCTGAAGGGACTCATTGAAACTGCGGTAAAGAACGCTCTGCTCATAACCTCGACTCATAGCTCTCAACAGAGCCCGGAATTGTCATCGTGACCACCCCTGTTTCTTACCATTATGATAAAAAGTATCATTTCACCTCTTAAAGATTATTCTCATGGCCTAAAACTTGAATGCTCTTGAGAACAATCTAGGTAAATGATCAAGTTAAGATTTAGAAACTTTTTGCAACTTTTTTAGGGAAAAAATAAAGAATAGTAGCTTTTATTTTAAACACCACTATCTGAACAGATACAGATTAATAGAAAGTAAAGTATTTCAGAGATACAGAAATCTTTATTTTAGAAATGATCACTTGAAATGGCTGTCACAAGTCTTACTTGTGGCTCTGATACACAGTGTCACCTCATGGACACACTCTGTATGTCTGATTCTATAAATTCAAACCCTCATTTCAGATTACACAGTCTATGGCACAATGGGATATGTTCCATTACAAACTCCTAGTCCAGTGAAGCTAAGAATTGTATCTTTGGGTCATGTCCATTCATGGCTGGGTTTTACTACTCTGTTTTTGTCATTTCCTGCCAAATTCAAGTGACCACAGAACAGTTTGTACATTCCCATGAGATCTGTCTTCCATCTTCAAGGACTCATTTCAAGAAACAGGTAATAGGAGGCCAATCAAAGAAAAAAGATCTTACTTTTCTCTTTCCACATCACTTCTAACCTGCTTACTTTTCTTGTAATGTGTTAATTACATATTTGAATGAGGAAAGAGTGTAAGAACTCAATGAGTCTCTGGATAAGGAAGGGGAAACAGGATTTTTCCATGTTTGTCTGTCCTCACAGTGTATTTTGTGTGTTATTGGAAAGGGCTATCACTTGAATGCCCACCTATCATTAGTGACTTGGAAAGGAAAACACTGAAGACCTCTTTCCTTACAGTTACTTTATTACCTTGAACTGATGTGTGTCCAACTCAAAGCAGGAGATGGGAAAATAATGAAGCAGGGTCTGAAGGAGTTGTGGAGCTGCAGCAGAGTGAGTGCCTCAGACTAATAAGAAAAGGTGACCTAGAAACCCTGATTGGCAATCACCACTCTGTCGGAAGCCTGCAGTAATAATCCTCACTCTAATTGGATTAGATTGAAAATGAAAGGGTTTTTTCCCCCAACAAATACCTGAAATTAATAACCAGCTCAGGCCTGGTGCATCAGTTACTATTATGAAAAAACCTGAGAATTAAATTGCTCCCTAGGCACTATATCAAGGGTTTACAATTTCTTCTTTGCAATTCTTTTGAGAACACTGAAGGACCCTTTGGGGCTGCAAAAGGACTGATTTAAAGGATTTACAGACTGATTTAAAGATACAAACTGCTTCCTCTAGAAATGAAGCAGTGCAGCAGGAGACCTCTGTACTATTACTATGCTTTTTAAGAGGTTTTATTAATTTAATGGTGCAAATTCTTGCTAGCTTTCAAAACCTCTAACAATGAATATCCTCCATAAACGTTGCTAATTTCTGAGAACTGAGTGAGGAATACAAGCTTTGAAAATGAATGTCAGTGGTTTCCTGTAGGTCACAGCAGTCTCCTCTTTTGGTATCACGAAGGCTGGGACAGGACAGGACAGGACAGGACAGGCACTGACATCTGTCTGATCAGCAGCTCCCCACAGCCCCAGTCAGGGACACCACAGGAGCTCAGAGGAGCTCCCATGGGAACACAGACTGGAGAGCTCTCACAGGCCCACTCGACATTTCCAGAGCCCTCAGAAGGGCAAATGGAATCACCAGGACCAGAGATCACCAGGCTGGAGCTCAAAGTGACCCAAGGGAGCCTGGTTAGAGGCTGGACAGGGAAATGGGAGGGCAGAGATGTGATGGCTTCAGTGCATTCATTTTGTTCCTCAGCACTTGTGGTTTCTGTTGAATTACAATATTTTCCTGTATGAGAAATTACCATTAATCCAGGCTCTCCATGTTCCTGTTCTTTTAAAAGCACTGAGAGTGGACACACACTATAACACCCCTGACTGCCAAAGCCAGGGTTAAATGTTCCTACTATCAGAACTGTTTGATCTCAGTCAATGACAAACCTAAAAGGTTTAAAATATACTTGCAGGTTAAAGCACTGTCAATACAAACAACCATTTTAGTTACCCAGCTTCAGGCATGGGCTTGACAGACCCATTTCCTCCAAGGCTGTACTTACTTGTAGCCATCTCTGATGAAAGTGGCTGCAGGTGGCAATGGAAGTTGTTCAATTTTTGGAGGAACAGCCCAAGAAGGCCTGAAGATGCAGGCATCTGGAATCTTCAGAGGTAGGAGGCACTGGCTGGGCAGGATCTTCAGTGGAGCAAACAGGGAGGAGCCCACAAAAGGTTGAAATGATGGAACTTTGTGCACATACGAAAAATCCTGCAACATCCAAGTGACCTTGGTTACAACAATGTGGTCAGGCTGCTCTTTAGATATTTATTTTTAATTAAAATCTATCATACTGTTCGAACCCTCTACAACTACCTTCCTCCCCCCAAATAAACTATATTTATTCCTTCTACAAGGCAGCCAAGAGTAGTTCCTTCAAGAAAACTCAGCTGAGGCTCCCTGTTATTCATAGATGTTGCACAGCTTTATGGCAGGAGATTTCACAACTGGATCAGGTTCATTTCAGACAGGCTGTGCCTGCACCATGAGTAGTGCACTATGAAATTTTCACACTACCTAACTTCCAGTACCTCATTTAGGCACTTAAAAGATTGATCTTTGCAAGACTTCTGTACTGACATTGGGGAGAGGCTGTCACAGTGTGAAGAACCCTGAGGTGCCTTGAGGCAGCCCCTCTAAATAACCTCCACCGTGGGGGTTCACATCACTTCAGCAATAACAGTGCAGAGTTTACATATGCCAATCATTACAAAGTATGAAATACAAATATCTAAACAATCCAGCAAGCACACTGTTGACTATCAATGAAGTTCAGCCCACTGGGCTTGCAGTGACTGTCACATTTGCTCGCAGAGAGTGATGACAAGAACTTCAGCCAGAGTTTCTAGAGCTATTCCAGCTCTTTCAGGAGGACAGAACTAATCCTCTCGAGGCACTACTGCAAAGTAAAAATCAGTGTGAAAATAGTAACAGCAGTCTCAGTATTTAACATTTTGTTCAAGCTTTGCATTTTTTCCCTTGCACCTTGTCAAGCATTGAGGGATGAGGAATGTGTGGATTTCTATCTCCAACTGCAGAATGCTCAGCACAAGGAATCTACTTCCATGTTCTCAGAATGATCAGCAATGGGTTTAGTGCTTGTTTCCCCCACTGGAGTGTATGAGCAGGTGTGATACACAGAAGCAAGTCAACTGTGCTGTTGGAAATGTTCTCAGGCAAACTGAAATAAGTATTTTAATACTCCTGTAATGGTTGTGAGGGAGATTAAAATATCTTTGGTATCAATGACACCCTGAAATCTGCTCCCACTCCAAAACCTTCAGCTCAACAAATTCCAAGACAGACTTTTTTTTTTCCAAGCCCAAGTTATCCTATTCTTAAAGAAACAATTTACTGCACAAGCAGAAGATAAAAACCAGCAAGGTCTGTGGCAAGGCAAAGTCTCATAAACCTTATAAAAACTTACTTCAAACTCCTGTAGTGGCATAAAAACTTGTGGATGCACCAGCTCAAGCTGGGCAGTGGAGACTGTCCTGGAGCACACATTGAGAACGTGCCTCCAAGTGAGAGCTCAGGGAGGAAGGAAGGAGAGATCTGGCAGTACCAAAGCAGACTTGCCCCATGTCCTGATGTCCAGCTGGGTTCTGCCATCAGAAGGGACACTTGGAACTCCCTCCCACGTCTGCAAAGCCACAGAACTGCTGGGACAAGCTCCCTGCCAGCTCAGCCCTTGGCAGGGGAATGAGCTGCAGATTCTGGGTTCTGACTGGACACACTGGACTGGCACCAAAATATGGGAACACAACCCTGGAATGCCATCTCAAACACTGTCCTGCTTCCTGCCAGGGACAGGGACTCCCTTCTCTCCCAAGGACAAAACTGAAAGCTCCTGTGGAAGGAGTCACCCTCCCTTTGCCATGGCCTCCCTTGCAGTCTGCCTGAGGGATGCTATTCCTGCTGGCAGGAAAATGTCCTGGTTCAGAGCTGACCACATCATTTACACTGAACAAAGGCATCCACCAGTAACCTCACACCAACACACAGCCACTTGTTGTCCATGCAGCTGCAAGTGTGTCCCTGGCTCAGTAATGCAGAGCCCTAAATATCAGCCATCAGTTAATTCCAATATGGGCACAAAGGAGAGGGAAGGAGGTGGTGCTGGGGAGAGAGATGGCTGCTGAAATAGAAGGAACAAGGCTGTGGCACATGAGGGACAGGGTGGGTCTGAGGGAGTAGAATTAGGCTACATGATCAAAGGCTGGAGACTGCCAGCAAGCCAGAGTTAGAGTGGGCATCTCCCTTTTTATTCCCTGTGTACAGAGCAGCTTGCTGTAGAACAACATGCTGTGCATTTCCACACAAAAAGAGCATTTTTTATTAAAAAAAAAACCCTCAGGCTGTATGTATGGAAATATGGCAACAGTACCTTCTGACAAAAGTGACAAAAGGCAGCCCCAGAAGTTCAATAATGCAGGACACAGAGGCAGAATGATTTGTGCCCTGCTCTTACCCTGTGATGGAACAATGACACAACCAATGTATATCAGTGCTGATGCTGGGTCCCTCCATGGGATGCTATGGAGAAATGGCCACACTGGGATGTCACAAGAACCCAGAGTCCCCAGCTACAAACAGCTCTTTACTGAGACACTACAGGACTCGAGAGAGGAGGAACTAGGTGACATTACCTGACCTGTGTTATACAGAAAGTCAGATAAGAATGGTCCCATCTGGCCTTAAAACTTGTGAAGTAACATCAGCTGAAGAAGAAACAGAGCAAGTTCAACCCCTGGGCTTTCTCAGAGAATTTCAACCCTAACCAAAAAAGGAACATTTCAGAGAGATAAAGGCAGCCTTTCTACATGCACCACTTTATCCCACTGTGTGCCAGCATGGCAGCAGGGAGGGGGGCACTGCAAAGGTGCCACAGAGTAATTATCTAAAGAAATACATCATTTAACAGCTGCTTAGCCACAAGAGTGGTGTTCTTCCATACATGTACATTCTTTCTGTTAGGCACAGGGCTCATTTCATAGATAATACTGTTTGTTTCCTGAAAACACTCAGAACCATTACAAACATTAAATTACAAAATGCCTACAGTTAAAATCAGGGAAACAATTTAAGAAGTCTTCTACTAGAGAAGAATACTTTTCCAGCTCCAAGCTGGCAGGTTCTTTACATGGGTCCAGCTCAAATTTGTTAGTTGCTACACATACAACATGGGACTTGTTTATAAAAATCAAAGTGTGCATAGGTGAGTTTGTCAAAATCCCACATTTCTGGCATGTTACCTTAATTTCTTCAGGTTTAGGGCTACCTAATCCATCTTCCACCTCCATTTTAAACTCAGCCAGCTGTGTTGGAACCATGTTGACCATAGGACTCTCCATCATTCCCAAGGCAGTCACAGTCTCTGAACTTATTCCATCTTTGTAACTCATCACTGGGGAGAAGGCAGGGTGCTGTTCTAAAGAGGGTGGTGTTGGGAACATCCTTTGGAGATCTGCCACAGCTGAAGAGGATGAAATAACACAGTTAATCATTCAAATACAAATTCTCAAGGAAATTCAATAAAACAGAAGAGACCAATTCAATGCTAGCTCTTATTTCAACAGTTTAAACTAGCAATGCTTCTCCAGACTTACTGGGGTTCTGAGAGCAGTGTAACTCTAGACCAAAAGTTAACTCCTAGGGATAAATTCCCCAAATTCCTAGGGATACTCTGCAAGGTTATTGTTCAGCAGCAACAACAACCTGGTAGACAGACAAACAGATGTTTACCAGTAACTAATAAATCCTTTATAACTGGAGAGGTGAACTGAATTAATGACAATCTCACCCCAGTGACTGTTTCTTAGGAGTCACAGAGAGTTTCCTCCCTTTGGCAGAGCTGACCTAGCCCTAAACCAGGAGGCCTTTGGAATTCCAGTGCCCTGAACTAAATTTCTCCACTCAGCCACTGCAGCCTTGTCTGGTCCACGGCAACACAACTCCTGCCACAAACATGGGCAGTTCTGCCCAGGAACAGACTGCCAGGCATCCTGAAGTTCCAGTGCCACAGAAGCCACAAAATTACCATTTTGCATCACAAGACCTTAGGCTAGGAAGATGCCTAAATGACTTCTCAGGAAATTAATGTAATGGAACCATCCATTGTCTATTTTTCTTTAAGCAGAATAACCAACTCCAACAGAGATGCTCTATACAGTGTAATGCCATCAAACAAATCACAGCAAAGTCTTGCATGTTGTCCCCAGCTCCATTCTGCATCCTTCCAGCTTCAGCTTCCATATTTATTTTGTGTCACATTCAGCATAAATGCTCTATTTTCCTGACTTGAATTAGGACAGATCCTCTCTAGACAAAACCATCAGTGGTGAACCACTGTAATTAGAGAAGGGTGAATTCCCACAAGTGTCTCCTCTTAGATACTTTTTTGGACAGATTTAATGCCCAATCCCATTTTCATACCCAAGCTGATGGGACACAAGGACACTTTTATACTCAATAACATCTGCAGCCTAAAGATTATGGAAAATTCATAAATCAACAGAGATGGGTTTCTGAATGGTAAACACTCTGTTGTGGAAATCCAAACAGATAAGTAGTAGTGTTCTCAAAAACTAACAGAAAAAAGGCAGAAATAAGTGATGGGATTAGAATTATCTATGGACTATGAATACCTGCACTGACAGTACATTTGTGTAGGATGCTGCAGCCTCAGGATGTGTCTCCACTCTGCCTTAACAGAGCCAACCCAGCATGTGATGCTTTTGTGCTCAGAGATGACACAGCCAGGCTACTGAACCTTCAGACAAAGGGAAACCACTCAAATAGGGGCAGTCCTCTCAAAATGCAGTTCTTTTGGTAATAGCTGTCCAAGCTGAACTCAGTCCTTCACAATCTGGAGCAGCAGAGTAAACAATGGGTATGAATTATTCCCATTCTATCTATATTCTTTTTTTCCCACTCTCTCAGTATCTGAATTTAAAAGACCTTAGTCTTGTCCTGATACAGGATAAATCAAAGCTGAAAAGAAGTTCAGCAGAATGGAAGAAACTCTTTTCCACACCAACATTGGTACAGAATACAATGTTCAGGCTGGCAGCTGGATTTGCTCCGTCTGTTTCTCAGCAGAGAGGTGCTTTAGACACCAGAGAGGGGACAGTGAGGAAGGTGAAAATGAAGGGTGGCCAGTAGGAATTTATGATGCTGGACAAGGCACTTCAGCTCCCCACAGACACTGCTCTGCTCGACAGCTGGTGGCAAGGCCACAGCTACAAGTGGAGTGTATCTGTTTAACTTCACACTACATCATTTTCTCACCTCCAGCTCGCTCCACTTAGCAAAATTCTGCAGTGCAGATTCATAAAAAAGTTTAATTACAAAAAATCCCCCAACCCTACAGCAACAGGCAACTATCATCATTCATTTTCATGTGTGTCATGCTTGAAAAAGCTTTGCATATTTTAAAAAGCTATGGATCAACTAAACCTGTCAAAATCCAATCTCTGTATACTTCAGACTTCTACATTTGAGTAAATCAGCACAGCTTTTATGGGTCCATAAAACTCTGACTCATCTCCTTCAGACTGGTTTTTTTCTTCACCTCAATTTGTTCTCATTACCAGCTGAAGTTAATGAGAAGGCATTAAAGAATGATTTGCAGAGAGATTGGATTTCTGCTTACAGTGGCCACAGAAATCAAACACTCTTCCTTCTCACCACTAAGTAATTTGTAATTAGATTCATTACTATTATACCAAAAATTCTCACCTTCCTCCTGTCCCACAAACACAGACACATTTCTCCTTCATCTCAAGAGAAATGCCACCTTCACCAATAGAATCAGAGATCTGTTCAGGTTGGAAAAGCCCTCTGAGATCATCAGAGTCCAACCACTCCCAGCACTGCCAAGGCCACCCTATGTGCCCAAGTGCCACATCCACAGGGCTGTTAAATCCCTCCAGGGCTGGGGACTCCAGCACTGGCCTGGGGAGCTGTGCCAGGGCTTTACAACCCTTTCAGGGAAGAATTTTCCCAATATCCACCCCGAGCCTGCCCCGGCACAGCCTGAGGCCGTTCCCTCTCCTCCTGTCCCGGCTCCCTGGGAGCAGAGCCCGACCCCACCCCGGCTGTCCCCTCCTGTCTGCTGCAAGAAATGCAGCAAAGCCCTCCAACCTCGGAGTACAAGTCACCATTCCCAACAGTTGTTGGCACAGTCCTTAGAAAAAAGCCCTATTGTTTTAATCTAATTTCAAATAATAAAAACGTTTCCTGCACTCCCATGACTTCCCTTGTCCACGTGCAGGGTCTGCACAAGCCAATACCACTGCCACCTATAAAAGGTCCACACCATGCCTCCAGTTAGAACCCAGCACTTTGATTTTAATCATGCATTTCCACATCCAGATTAAACTCTGAGGGTGATTTTAGTTTTAATTTGTCAAATGTTCAGTGCAATTTTCTTCCAAGACAGGTTGCACCATCATGGCCAGTTGGTAAGCCTGGTCCTAAATTCTTTGATTTCATTAAGTAGAAGGATTTACACTTTAAGAGGGATTTGGTAATGGTGGAAGTGCCCAACAGTGAGCAGAGAATAGAGGAGAAAACTTCCAAAGGAAGATATGTAACAAACCCTTCCCATAGCTCCAGACTACAACAACAATGTCAACAGCAGAGTACCTCATGTCTCAGTGGGCTCATTAAAAACCCGTGTCTGTATCACCACTGCCCTCACTAAAACCTGGCAGTTCCAGCAGCAGGGGCGCCCTGGGTGAGGCCAGTGGCACGGCAGGGCTGTGCAGTGAAGCCCGTACTCACTGGGAGGGTAGGGAACCGCGGTCCGGCCGTCCTTGCCCAGCGGCCGCTCCTCGGAGCCCGCGGCCGGCAGCTTGGAGGAGCGCAGGGCTGGGGACACGGCCTGCAAAACCAAGCACTGCAGTTAGCACACACTGTGACACCTCCCGTGCACTGCACAGCAAACACAGTGGCTGCTTTTCTACTCCCCCACCCGCTCCCCACAAGCAGCCTGGATTTTTCCCATCTTTCAACAATAAAAACAAAAAGAAATATTTGTCTGTCTACATATCCCCCCATAAATTGATGCATACATGTAACTATGTATTTTTGTATTTCTATATTCAAAATGTTATCATAAGCCCTGAGCTTGAAATGCACGTGAGTGTTCTATTTGTTTCTATGTTTGGATTACTCCAATGTAGTAATGGGAATATGACACTGAGAGTAAGCCCACATGCAACACGTTTGCAACACATGCAAATGTTAAAACAGGAAAAACATTAGGGCTGTCTAGGGAAACTTCAGAGAAGAAAGTAATTTTTTATTTTGACAGAATAGTCCTTTGGTAGATTTGCATATTAACTGTGGCATCTGAAGTGCAGTTTGTGTGGAACCACAGTAAGGAAATTGGCACACTTAAAAAGTCCTGCCAAGAACAAGGCATAAGACTTTTAAACATTGTTATCTGCTAACAGTCACTTTAGGACTATCTTCTGTATCATTATGGCTGTATTAAATTATGCTTAAAAATAGTGACTATCCAAATCGTTGCCTTCCCAGGCAATTCCCCCCCCATAACTGAAATAAATGTGCATTTCTTCTGTATTTCCTAACATGCAGCAACTATTTCTCTTTGCACTGAAATACAGTGCTTGGAGGAATATGAGGGAACATGACTCAGGGAATTACTGGAATCCTATAAGGTTGAATTTATTTTTCTTCGGGCAGCTTCTCAGACAAGGGAAAAGAATCCATCACCAATTAATAAAACTTGGATCTTTTCCACCATAATTCTCAAACACAAAATTCTGACAGAAGTCCAGAACTAGATATAATGGATTTATAAAGCAACTGCATGGCTCTCCCTATGGAAGCTCTTACAGCCTGTCCATACAGGATGGATCTCCTGAAGGAATCTCTCTCTTTGCCAGCAATCCATCCTAGCTAAAATCCAAGCTTGCCTACCTGGAAACTCTCTCCCATCTTTTAGAGATAACCCTTCCCACCAGGACTGCTGCTCCTGGCCTACAGAACACTCATCCCCACCAAGACTCACCCCCAGCTCATCCTCGTCGGAGTTGTCGAAGATGTTGTCGAGGTCGTGCAGGGACGGGGCCAGGTCGGTGACCTGGGTGAGGCTGCCGGAGCCGGCCCTGCCCGCAGCGCTGTCCTGGCGCGGCTCTGCCACACGGGACGGGCACAGAGGGAGCAGTCAGGGACACGGCAACAACACAACAGCACCCCTGCCCCACCGAGCCCCTCTGCTGCCCTCGGCACCCACCGAGCCTCACTCGGGAAACAAGGAAGGAGCTGCTGCTCATTTAATAGTCTAAAAATATATACAATTACTTTTATAAAAAGGACAAGGAAAATCAAGGTTTTTTCCAACTTGGGAGCTGTCTGTAGCTCTGATGTTAGAGACAAAAGTTCAGATGTTATTTTTCCCTTCAGATGTTATGGCATATGAGTATTTTTGCTTTGCAGAGTGAATCAAAGAGCTTTAACTCACCAGTCTTAGGAGTAGAACTGAAAATGGACATGGCATCTTTTCCATCAGGAACTGGGGTTGAATGGCCCGTTGGGGGGATTTCCTTGGAACCAATCCCATCTTCTGACTATCAAAGAAAAAATCAAAGAGATTTCATGGATATGAATTTAAGCTATGTAAGAACAAACGTTTTCCTGTGTCCAGCCAGACTCAAGGGTCTGAGTTAAATAAAAGATTTTACAAAGGATTCCATGGACATCATTCAGCTCTGACAGGCAGTCCAGGTAATTAACCACCTCAAATTCTCCAGGAAAAAACATTCTTAGAATGTTTGCTTGCACAGCCAGACACCAAAATACCTCCATAAGGGATAGGATACATAAGAAGCATCATGCAGGTGGTAATATAATAATTTCAACAAAAATTAAAATTATAAATATAAATATATACATGTCTGGTTTTGTTCAGTGGAACAGAGTTGTGTCTTCCAGAGAACTGTAAAACAAACACTGTGCTACAGGATAAATCCCACAAGAACATTAATGCCAAAGACTGGATTTACACCTTACCTTGTTCTTTTTCAAAGGATCTTTCTCAGCCCCAAGTTTGCATTTTTTATTGACAGTGAAACTGTACTTGATGTCTCCATCTTCGAAGGTGTAAGGATCACTGGTGTCTCCCCAGCCTTCTCCAGGGGGTTGTAGTAGAGGCAAGGGGTCGAGATAGTTCAGGTTCTGCACTGGCTTCTGCTCTTCCAAAATTTTAAACCGTTTATTAGGTTGTGCTAAGAGCCTGAAGTGAAAATGAACAAGCAAAGCCACCATGAAACAAAACCAGCATGATCTGTAGCTGTCACACAAACACAGCCCATGGCTCACTCCATCCCCCTTGATCAAGAAGAAATGTTTTTTTCCTCAAATAAAGGATGTATAGCATACATTTAGTATTAAATACCTTACTGTATTCAGACCTGCTTTAGGACAATGAAAGAAGAATCAATTTTGTCACTATATAAATGAAAACACTTTGAAGGCCAGCCTTTCCAGACTGTGTTTTTCAGGCTGAAACCCTTTTCAACCTAGCAAACTCCATTGTAATTACCAAACCAAATAGTCTTTTAACTCAGTAACTCTTCCTCAATTAATTTTTCCTAAAAACTTTCATTAACGACTCTCTCTGGTGCATTTTTTAAAATGCATTATCAGAATGCTACAGTAATTTTTAGGCAAACATAAAATACAAAAATAGGTTACAAAGAGATTGATCAGTTCTTATAGTGTCCAACAGAAAAACAAATATGGAAAAGGCAAGCATTCTGCAATAGAGTGTTTCTATTTAAGTATTTGGTGCTCTCTGCACCATCTGTAATGGTGAAGTGAAGCCTTAGCCTTTCTCAAGGAAAGTAGAAATTAGAGTGATGCCTTGGGTTTTAGTTTTTATATTTTTCAGATTCTCTGCTGCCTGGTGTGTGGTTCTGAAACTTCATGTTGGGTGTTGGTGAGTTCTCTTCACAGGGTAGTTGGACAAAACAATCCCTTCCCAGCTGGAGAATCAAGGACACCCAGTGCCCAAAAATCATAAACAACAGCGAGGGAAAGGGGGCAAGCCAGGGGGCTGAGACTTCATAGCCTGGAGCAGTGGTTGGACAATTGACCCCAATGTGTGGATGAACCAAAACTTATAAAAGTGTAAAACTCGTGACCAGGATCCATCTTGGATTTGATTTGGGTGTAGCCCTGGCCAGGCTCTTGCACTGCCCAAGGTGGATCCTTTCAATAAATATCTATTTTATCCCTTTTGCTCTGCCTGCTCTGTTCCATGTCAGCCTTTCCAGGCGTCAGTTTGGTGATGATTACAACTGCCCAGCCCCCTGTTCAGTGTGTGCTCTCACCTTTTCAGTGCAGTGCTGTCGGGGTTGATCTCCATCCTGCCATCATACCTCTCACACGGCAGCTCCGGCGGCCGGAACTCGGGGTCGTCACTCGAAGGGACACTGTAGGTCCTCCATACATCCAGGGCCTCGTTGCTCTGAGTTATGCCACAGTACAAGGCCGTCTCACTGACCTCTGCCATCAGAGGTAACCTCTGTCCCACCAGGACTGTCCTGTCATCTAAGCTGGGCAGTGGCTGCAGCTCCAGCCCGCTGCTGTAGAGTGCTGGGTTCACAGGAACTGAAGGGGGGTCCAGGTTCTCTGCCTCCTGACCCCTGGGCTGGGGGCTCAGGGTGGGAGGCAGAGGGGAAGTGGGGGAATGGGGTGAATCCATAGGATTCATATTCATTTGCTTGCTTGGATTTCTAGCAGGCAGCGAGAGCGGCTTCTCGTATTTCCTGGAACTGGGGACTTCCAAAGCAGACTCCATCCCAGCCAGCCCCAGCTTCTGCCCGGACGTGTCCTGCTCCATGCATAGCTCTTCAGTCACCGAGGGCCGATGGTGAAATGGCATCAGGGGCCTTTTTTGCAGTTTCTCTCCCTTGTCCTGCCTCTCGGTGGTTTTGTGCTTTGAGGAGGCAGGAGGGGGCAGTGCCGAGGACGCCGCCGTCCCCACGCCGAAGCCGGGCTGGGGCAGCGTGGGGGGCCGGCCAGAGGCACCGGCACAGCGCTGCTTGAACACCTTGTGCCTGGAAAAGGAGGAGGAGAAAGCACTCACTGCATGCTCCGGACAGTTACCCAACCTCAGGAGAAAGCCAAACCCAAAGAACAGCACGGAGAAACCTCCTGCCTGCTCCAGATCTTTTAACTTCCACCTGATGGAGGAAGTTTGAATAAATATTTTTAAATATTCAAAACAAAATAATGCAGTAACATACAATTTTATTACAGGCTTCATATGGCTTTTTTGACTTTGTATCCAGTATCTTTGAGACTGAGAAGCACAGGATTGAATTTCTGTGTTTAACATCCTGCTAAAAAGCATTTTCATCGTACTGATGATTATTTCCAAGGATATGACAATAGGGATATAACTCTGCCCATACTTTTACTGCTCTTTTTTGTTGTTCCAGGCTTTTTGTTTAGCTGTTTATTTGACTTTATTAAGCTAAACAGAAATTGAAAGATGTGTTTGTGCTTAACATTGAAACCTGTTTAAAAATAAACACCATTTCAAAATTAAAAACTCCATCCCTATTTTATGAACAACAATAGGACAACAAAAACCCATTTCAAAACATGTAATGTGCTTTTTACTTAAAAAGATAACCTCCATGATCACAAGTGAAGTGGACTAGATTGGAGAGACACCCAACCCTGTCTACAGGTGCAAACATAATATTTTATGCTTGCTGTTCCATGGAAGTATGCAGGCTCTGTGGGGTTACCCCAGCTTTCCTGGGGCTTTGCTGTTCCCAGGACACGCTGCAGATTCCCTGCAGCAGCAGATGGTCTGTGCCTGCAATCACCCTAATGTGCAGCTAATGCCCTGGTAACTGGAGATTTGCCTTAAGCATGTTCTTGTAACATTTCATTGCCTTAATTCTCCATCACTCACCATATTTTAACTGACTGCAGAGAATTATTTCAGACATTCTGCTCCTCACACACCAAGCTGGATCTGCAGGAGACTGAATCTGATGCTGAGTACCAGACAGCCCTTTGAGACTCCAGATCTAAGATCATATCCTGACATTTATCCAGTACATGGAATGGGCACAGAAATGACTAAAACGATTTCTATATGCCAGCAGCTGCTCAGGTTGTACAGCTACACAGAAAGTACTTATTGCTTTTTGAAATCAGGTACTGCCTTCATTTTAAGGATAATGTTTCCATTTCCCAGCTGCTATGTTTACCAACTGCAGCATGATGCAGTTATCACTGGAGGGATGAACAGACAGTGTGAAATTGCAAGTGCAGCTCAACCTATCCATAGAACCAGGCTCCCACTGCCCATTATTGATTCCCATGCCTTCCAGGCAAAGCTGGACCTCAGTTTTCCACAGGAAACACATCGCACTCTGACAAAACATTTATCTGTTCCACATTCCTGAGTATACAAATACAAACAATGTATATAATCGGGGGGGGAGGGCTGCAGAAAGCATCCTCTCACTCAGGACAGAGCAGGGAGTCTCCAGGTTGAACATTCCACCCTCCTAGGATGCAGTCCCTTCATCTCTTCCTCTGACTACACAAAGAACTGCATGCTTAAGGAATAATTTCTTTTCCTTGCTTTTATCACCTATCTTACAAGTAGATGGTGACCTTGGGGATTAAGAATTTCGAAGTGTTTCACAGGACTATTTCACTGCAAACTGGGTTTTTTCTAGCCCTGTAACATCTGATAGTTTTAAGAATGGTTAAGCACATTGGTGATGATGGTTTGCCTTTCCTGAGTGAGAAGTTCTGTAATTGTAACCACCCGAAGATGACAGATAACTTTAATAACCTCCTGAAGTGTTTGTGGTGAGTGAGCTGTGAATTCTTTCTGATCCAGTGGGTGACCTGGCTGCAAAGGTTTAATATTCGCTTGGGTGGGTTTTGGTGCCAGGGCAGATTGACCAGAGGCACTGAAGTGATTTGTAGAGATGTTTTCCCCCTTCCTCCAAATATCAGGATACTCACAAACTTAGGCACATCCTGCCCCCTCCACCACAAGCCTTAACCACTTAACCAAAAGTTACAGCTCTGAAAGGCTGTGGGATGAGTTCCTTATGAATGGGAATTGTTGGAGTGATCCTGGCTCCAATACCATCATTTTTCCACTTGGATTGGCTCCTGCAAGTGACAATGGGCTGAGATGCAGATTCATCCCCAAATGTGACCACAGGTTTGATATTACAATTTTCTTTTGTCTCAGCTGAAGCATAACTCCCTTCTGTCAGTGTATCTTTGTCTGAATGAAACAGGGCTCTTGCAATATGACAAATGTTTATTCTCTTCAAAGCTCACCTGGAACAAGAACAACTGACTCTTTGGACTGGATCCACAAAATCCCATGAAACACTATTGTTAGGAACTTCCTCTTCCAAATTTGCAGCTGTAATTTGATTCCTCCTGAAGAAGAGAAAATTATTTTTGTAATCACCATGTTTGGAAGAACGAAGTTTTTAAAATGTATATGCATAAATACATATATGTTTCCCTCAGATAAATTACTTCCTTCTACCTGACCTTCGAAATTGACAGCAGATCCCTATACTACTCCTTAAATTTACAGTTTGATTTATGTAGGAGGAAGGTCCCAGCTCTGTGTCAGATAACTCTGTCTGGAGTCTGAGCACGAGAAACAAGGGGAAAGCAATTTAAACTGTTTCTGGCAAGTAGTCTGACACATCCAATGAGGAGATTGCATGGAAATAGGAAAAAAATATTTCAGAGCTCACCATGCTGTGATACACTTTAAATCTCCAGTACTAAAGGTCTATGATACTAACATCAATTTACACGCCCTTGTCAATTGAAATTTTAGTCCAACTCCTGTAATGCTTTACAAATACTCCCCTTAGAGTTCTAAATATCAAATATATACAATCTGTTCTGCAGTCACCCAGCTTTCAGTGTAGTAACTGCAACTGGAGATAGAAGCTGCCATCATAAATCTGAGAGCACTTGGCTGAAGGCACAGCCTATGGATGTGTGGCCCTAAGGACTGTCACGATTAGGATACAAAACTGCAAATACAATGGCAAGTATCAGGAGTTCTCAGCTGAACACAGGGACAAATTTTCTTTGATAATACATTTTCTTTGATAATGCTGTTGGCATCATTAGCTCTGATTGGTGGCAAAGGAATCCTGTAAGGAATAACATTAAGGCAAACTATGACAATTTTAGCTGTATATTATGTGTTATAAATGACCAAAGCATGAGGACTGCTGCCATACTTGGACTGTGCCCTGTTGAGGATGCATTCCTTCCACACACGGTGAACAATACGGTTGTGAAATTTGGGAGTGATCTTGCTTGATTTCTTTGGACTGTGGACACTGACTGTGCCCTCCTGCACAGCTGGATGGCTGATGCTGCTCTGAGAGCAGCCACTTTCTCCTGCAAGAGAAATAAAACATTAATGTCAGAACTGTTCTTCATACTGTCACTTGGTATTTTTTCCTGGAAGTCTCTTAGCAGGCTGCTGACTACACTGATGTTCCCACTCACTGGGGAATGCTCAGAGCATCCTTACAAAACACATTTCAAAGCAACACTTCCTTTGAAGTAACAAAGATGGCACTGGGTTGTGCCACAGACATGGGCAATAGAGTTGTGCACACTCTGTATATAATATATCTATATGTATCTATTAAAAATACACTCCCTAATAAATGGAAGTACTTTAGATAGCCCCTACAGCTCTGGACCGAATCACTAAGAAATAGTGCAGATAGAGCTTTTTCATTATTATCCTGGATGTTAAACTTGAATTTATATAGTCTATGGTAAGTTGCTTTAAAGACAAAATTTATTGTAATATGGATGGTCCTAAAAACATCTATTAAGAAAATTAATCATTTATGGAGATTATTTCAAAGCAAGGATCAGTTCTTTATACTCGATATTAAACCTCACTGAAGAAATGAATGGATCACTGATGCTTTCCTACAGACACAGACTGGGAGAGCTGGGAGTGTTCACCTGGAGAAGAGAAGGCTCCAGGGAGAGCTCAGAGCCCCTTCCAGTGCCTAAAGGGGCTCCAGGAGAGCTGGAGAGGGACAGGGCACAGGGAACAGCTTCCCACTGCCAGAGGACAGGACTGGATGGGATACTGGGAAGGAATTGCCCCCTGTGAGGGTGGGCAGGCCCTGGCACAGGGTGCCCAGAGAAGCTGTGGCTGTCCCTGGATCCCTGGAATTCTCCAAGGCCAGGCTGGACAGGGCTCGGAGCAACCTGGGATAGTGGAAGGTGTCCCTGCTCATGGCAAGGGGCGGAATGAGTTTAAGGTCCTTTCCAACCCAAATCACTCTGGGATTCTGTGCCATTTCTTTACAATGTGCTTGAACTGAAATACTAGAATCAAAACTGACTTTGGTGAGATCTTCCAGTTGAGATCTACACTACTACAGAAATTTCCAACAGCTTATCACCAGTAGATACACTATTAACACAGCATATGATATTCTCAGTATGTATTTTCTGTATGATTATCAAAGAGATAATAAATGAAAATATTACTTCAACATGTTTGAGAGCCTGAAAACTCTCTGCACTCCATTCCTTCCTGTGCTGCAGAAGCCTTTAGCAGCTATTGTACAAGCAGATGCTGCTTTTTCTCCCTGCAATGTGTTTCTGTTTAGCTGAACTGAACTCCAGCACATCCATCTTGCCAAGCCCGAGCTGCAGCAGCAGAGGGAGCTTTGGGTCCACGGGCCTGGGCACGGAGTCCCTGCTCTGGGCTGGGCTGGAACAGCAAGGAGGGATGTGCTGCATTTTCACAAGGTCACACCAGGGTACAGAACACTTCGTCCTCCTGCTGACGCAATCCAAGCAGCCTCAAGTGTGAAACGCTGAAGGGACTCAGTGCTGCACATCACTGCAGCTAACAGGGAATCCTGCTGCTTGCCACCAGGTGACTTGCAAAACACAACTTCTGAAATGGTGCACAAGCTGCCTAACCCTCACCTTTCATTCTTCCCCTTATGTATTTCTTTCCCCACTTAGATCTTCTCTGATGATCTTGTTGTAAAGTCATACATTGAAATCCCTGGCCAAACTGAGGCTTGTGCCTCTAACCATGTATTTCACTGGCTTTCAAATGTTCTCCAACAAGTGAGAACTTGATAGATGATCAAAAAACAAACAGGTCAGAATTTCAGAATTGGCAAATGTGCCCTCCTTTGGAGAGGGGTAGAAGGAATGTGTATAGACAAACATCACATGCACACTGAGGCATCACATGTCAACAGCAGGAGGAAAACAAGGAAAAGTCTGATGGGAAAGGAAGAACAGGAGGCACAAGAGGGTAACCAAGGAACCACTAGGGCTTTCAAGTTACATTGGAATGTATTAATTATTGCTTTCTATAATTATGTAATATTTTTATACTATACAGTACAGCAATATACAGCAAAACAGGAGACAGAACTGCACAGCAGGCAAAAACACCTTGTTCTCACACACTGACACTAATTTTTATCCATGAACACAGTCCTGGGACACACAGAGATACCCATGGCAGGTAATGGTACAGTGACTGGAGGACACAGCAACCCCTCCCCAGAGGCCACTGCACAACCCCTGCAGTCCAGACTGGTTCCACTGGTGAAAAATGCTATTCCCCAGTTCCAGCAACAATTTGTTTTGTTACATACTTTAGACACAACCATGGAAAATATGATTAAATGAGAACTGAAGAGATCATCTAGTCCAGTCCTTGCTTTAAAGCTGGATCAACAAATTTAACTAATCTGTTTCTTAAAAACAAAATGCCCCCACCAAACCTCCCAAAACCTATCACTCCCCTGCTAATGGAACTTCTGTAGCTTCCCAACAACCATTTTATTCCAACATTTCATTATCCTTCCTCAGAGCAAGTTTTTCCTCCTGTTTAACCTAATTTTGCTTTGCTCCTGTTTTGATTCATTATATACTGGTTACAGAGAAAAGCCTATTCTTTTTCTCCTTGAAATTTCACTACTCTAGTATCCATCTTTTCCTGGAGGTCCTGTTTGCAAAATCCAGGATCACTCTCACTGTACTTTCTTGGACTCCACTCAGTTTGTCCACATCTTTAGGTGCTCCAAACTGGACATGCACTAAAGCCACGTTTTAAATAGCATTGGGCAGAACTGAAGTATTATTCCCGTGCCTCCCACTAATCCAGTTTATGGGTCCCATTAGTGCTTCTGGACTGCATGAAATGCATTTCCAATCCATTCCTCCAGTTCTTCAAGGTCTTTTTAAATGGTTTTTGATAAAAAAAAAATCCTTTCATTGTTTGCTGAAGAGGCACCCCTCTGATACAAATTCATACTGCCCTCAAACAATAGCAGAGATCAAACAGAAGCTGTGACTGCCAGATTGGACAACACAAGCACTTTTATATAAATGATTGTTTATAAATATTCAAAAATAGAATCCCCCTTGTGATACTGTACAAGTGTAACAGGGTTCTGAAAATTTAAAAAATACAATAGCTCATTAAAAGATGCATCAATACTTGAATAGATTGTTATTTAAATGGTGATTGTCTTGCTTCAATTAGTATTAATTGGTTTCTTGCTTATTTTAACTCTCAGTTCCTTTGGAAAACACCATTCCAAGTGAATTTACATCTCATATTCTGACTTACTAGTAGTAAGTACTAAATACTTTGATTGTCTTCATCTATAGGCTCTAATCATGGACCAGTGAATCCAGGTATGTTTTCTTTGGCTTTACATCGAGGTTCAAAGGTTGGACTTGACAATCTTAGAGGTCTTTTCCAACCTCAATGACTCTGTTATTCCAGGACTGACCCTGCTGATGTGACAGAACTATCCCATAAAGGCCAAGTTTGGGAGTTCCTCAGTGAGGGTGTAACAGGGATTCTTTAGCCCCATTTGGCTGCACAGTCTCACAGAAACTTGTAGGGCATTTGTGCCTTTGACTCTTCTGTTACTCTGTGAAATTGAGTAAGTGCTGCCCCAACAGGTTGAAAAATTCTCCAAGCTCAAGCAGGTTGCCCAGTGGTGAGAGGTTTTTGTGTTGCTTTGCAGCACTGCACACAGATGTACCCAGAGGAAAGGGAGCTGAACCGAATTCACCCTGTTTTGTGTAAAGGGGTGTTCACAGCACTGGCTTTCCTTCACCACAGACCTACAAAGTCCTCTCACACTCCTCCACTGCCTGCCTTTACCCTGCCCCTGTTCACACATGCACTGCTCAGGAGCCAAGCAAAACCCAGAGTCTGACTCCACCTCCCCAGCCCACTGCTTACCCATTACAGCCTGCTCTGGAGAGGTGGGGGGAGTCAGGGGCATCCCACAGGTACTGACAGGATCCTTCACGCTTCCAAGGCCCTGCTGTCCCACATTTATATGGCCTGCAGCACTGGCAGTGCTCTGTGACACTGGGATGTCACTCTGGGAGATGAGAACAAAGGCTGAAGGATACACCATCCTCACACCCCCTGCAGAGAGAGATGGAAAACCACAAGTCTTAGACACACCTGATAATATCCAGCAACCACGGCTACTTCCACTTTTTCTCAATGTCAATTTGACAAAACTTATTATCTGAAATACAAAGAGCTAAGGAATTTCCATGCTAATATACATGCAGCCCTCTGTAACCAGTACAGAGCTGAAACAAGTAGCTCAATCCAGTGAATAATGGCATGTGGGATACAGGGAGTACAAAAGCTTGAGGCGACAGAACTGCTCAGATGTTCCGGTGTCAAGAGAGCTACGAGAGAATATAGGAAAATTATAATGGCTCTTTCTGATTAATTAGATGACTTTTTTTTTTTTTTTTAAATCATGAGGAAGAAAATAATCCTTCAGGCACAATACTGAAACTTACCAACAATGACTTCAACTGCCACAGGGAAATCGTTGTCATATCCCAGCTCTTCCTCCTCTTTCATGCCTTCCTTTTTCTTCAGCACCATGGGGTAGAAGTACTGCCACTCCTCCATCAGCTTCCGAGTGGCAGGGTCTGACATCTTGTAGGACTGGCCCGTGAGGGTCCCATTCAAGCCATAAGGACTCACCAGCACTGCAACACAACCAACAGCAGCCCTGAAGGACTCAGCAGCACTGCAGGAGAACAAACAACAGTCCCACACCACAGCAGGGCTGCTCCAGCTCTGCCTCTGCCTGAGCCACTCTTCCATTGCCTGAGCACTGAAGGGTCCAGGGAAAGCCACTGCAAAACCCAGCACAGGTGTGAATGCAAACCTACAGAGCACTGAGCCCTCCTGAGCTAACACAGGACCCCATGGCAGTTTGGGTCATCATTTCCACAGTAAATGAAATTCCAGCAACCCCAGTGTAGTGAAATAGCACTCAGGGATGAGCACTCATGGAAAGAGGAGAGGACAGGAACATTTGAGACTTCTCAGCATTAAAAAGGATAGACAATACATGAAGAAGAGTCACAACAAATAAGGAAAACTACTTGCTTAACAACAGGTTCCATTCTGACTCAGTTTTGCTTTTAGTTGTATTTGATTTATGAATTTAGCTCACTGAAATAAAATGTATAACTGAAGTGCCTGAGCCTTTGTCAAAGCTTTGTAGACACAAAATGTTTTCAATAAAGCTTCTATAAATTAACATCTCTATAAATGATCATTTCATGTGTTTCTGGGAGTTTTTTTACTCTATGTTGAACTTTACTAAGATTTCTTGCTTTAATTGCTTTAAAATTATAATTTCAGACTGTAGTAAAGACAGCATAATGCAATGACTCAAAATTCGTAATTTTTTTTTATAGTATCACATGAAAATTGCATTATGACTTTACTAAACCATCAACTTAATTCTGTAAAATTCTAATTTCTTACACTGGCAAATAAATAGTCACAGATACTTAAAAGTTTTTCATTGTTTCCACTACATTTTCACACCCACCCACCCCTTGTTTTTAAAATAAAACAGTAAATAGTTTGCCAAGTATGAATGAGTCCTGAACCAGATAAGCTCAGTATTTGCATCCACATAGGATTCACAGGTGAGAAAATCACATGGGTGCACTGACTTCCTAAAATACGAAGTCTTTTCAAACTGCAATGATTGGCGTGTAGGATCACCGACAATGAGAAGGACTGGAAAGGTCAGGAGAGTGATCCCGGAGGGCTGATGGAAGGTGGGTACCTTGGAAGGGCGAGGGGGAGGACTGGGCCATGTGGATGTGCTCCTCGGTGATCAGGTAGATGGGCTGGTGCTGCGCGATCTCCACGCTCGTGCACACGTTGCTCTCCCCGTGCAGGAAGAACGTGAAGGCACACGACAGGTGTTCACTGCAGGAGACAAAAGGAAACATTTCTCCGTGTTAAAGGGATCCAGGAGGGAAATCAGAGCCTCAGAGGCCAAGCACACGCCCTCCTGTCCCATTCTGAGGTCACTGCCTGGCTGATAAATAATATGACAGAGGGATCTGTCACCAGACCAATAGTTGACAATATTGGCAGCTGTCTCTTCGATGTGTTTTCCTGCTTGTTTCATTACAAATAAATGCGATTTTAACCAGAATTCAAGCAGGAAAACTATGGGTCTTTAGAAATTCTTCCAAATTCACCCCACAATGAGGTCCAGTTGAAAAGGAATACAAAAGATGTTTGCCTAACATCTCAAGAGAATCCTGATTAAAAAATATAAAAGCATGTGAATATTACCGAAATTTGTCAACTGCCTAAGGTGAACCATGGATTTGTCACTGCTGACCAAATTTAACTTGAATGAACTTCATTTCATTCTACCCATAGAGTGACTCCCATCACAGAAAACTATTTGCTTAATTATTCCTTGCTACAAAGCCACAAGAAGAAAAAGAAAACAAAGCCCATTTCATGTTTTTGATCATGATTTTAATCAAGTAAAAATGTACAGAGCTGCAGTAAGTGTGCAGAGATTTTTCAGAGCTGTGCACAGTTTTATGGGTGTTGGCTTTGGCACAGGGCCAGCCCTAATGGGACCTGTGTTTTACACACAGCTCTCACTACCTGCACCAAGAAGAAAAACCAGAGCAACTACAAACATTGCACTTCAGCCATTGCACTGCTCTACTACTGCTGCCAGTAGTTTTTAAACAAAGGCACTGATGGTCTAGTACTGGGAGCTGTTCTAGTCTCACTAAATCTCTGAATGATTCCACACATTGGGCAGAGTAACTTGTCATCCTGTAGCCCAGGTTACTCTTCTGTGAACCTCAAATCCTGCCACAAAAAGAGACCAGAGGAAAAAGCTCAGCTGAGAAAAATCTGGAGAGAAAAGGTTACTAAAAAAGGTAAAAGCTACACTTCCCTGGTGCTGTCATCCATGATTCTGGAGTACTTTGTAACAGCAACTCCACTAAATAAAAGGTTTCATTATGTTTCAATTTCCACAAAGGAAAGAAATGTCACTATCCTCTGTGATGAAGTGGTAAATTGATCATTTAGTTACATGTAGGGGGGAAGGGAGGGAACAGGACGCTGGACAAAATGGGTCAAACTCCAGGTATTTCTATCCTGCCCCAAGAAGAGAAGCAAACCAATTAATATAATAAAACCCCCTGAACACTGTATTTCTGCATATACAAGAAATACAAAATTACAGCAAAGTCCAATTATTTAATCAAAGCCCGTTAGTTTCTTTACACAGGGTGAATGCCTTTAATATAAAGAAGGTTTTAATAAATAAAACCCCCATGAGAAATCTGGTGTAAGATCAAATGGGGATAATGTGTGCAGAGAGCTCACATGCAGCAGGTCAGCACTTCCACAGCAGAGAGCAAAGATGTTATTTTCAGCTCCTTTCTTTAGCATATACACAGAAACACTCTGGATTCTGCAAACTTCCTACAGGATTTAACTGTGGGTCTTGCTTGGCTGCTCTTGAACTGAAAGGAAAAAATTGGGACCATCCAGGGACCCTCTCAAGTGTCTTGTAAAGTGCTCTGGCATGAACAAATCATGTGCAATCTTATGCAACACTCACAGCTGCCCATAAATATTGTGAGAATAAGGAATACACTAAATCAGAGCTTGAAAGACAAAAGATTCATTTAGTTTTGGAAGGAAGGCAATGCATGCCACTGACTTTCAACTGAAAATATTGTAACACCAGAATCAGTAATTGAGATCACAGAATTAGGTAGCTTCAGACTAAGAGTACAGACAACTAATTATGGGGGGAAGAGGTGTACACACACAGTATCAGCCCATTTCTCTTCCCTGAATGCAGATGAAGGACTAACAGCAATGAATGTTACTGCCCATGCCCAGCAATAAGGACTTCATCAGTGCAAGATGGATCATTTCTAGCACCGGATCCAAACTAAACCATGGAAGGGAACAACAAAGCTCGTTCAGTCCAGCAGGGCTTTCCTTCAGACCAGAGCTGGTGGAGCTGCTGGCACAAGCCCCTCTGCCCAGCAGGTCCAGCTCCAGCCAGACCCTGTGCCCTGCTGCCCTCCCTGACTCCCCACCAGCTCTGCCAGGGGACAGGCACTGACACACAAGTGAAGCTCTCTCTGGTGCCAGTCACTGCCATAAACTCAGCTTTCAAGACAAAAACAAAAATTAAAGATCAAGGCTTGGGGACTTCCTGCAGTCCCCATCAGCTCCTGGCAGACCTGGGGTGAAAGTTTCCTTTAGTAACAAATAAGAATTTGATTTGAGCACATTGGGCTCTGATCCACTCTGGCATGTGCTCCCAGCCTCCTACATTCCTGCATGCAGTACAGCTCACACCATTCCTAAAATACCAGCCCAAAGAAATCACTCTGGCTACAAATGTGAGCCAGATCTTGGAAGAAAATCCAAGTGGAAAAACCTCACCCAGCTCCAAGCAGCCAGCCCTTCACACAGCCCCAGCACAAGGCTTCACCTGATCCACCACTGAGCTCCACTGTACATTCAAGATATTCCCATCACATAAAACTCCAAAGCACACAAATTGTTCAGATCCTCACTAGAGTCTTCCAACATTACCAATATCCAGTTTTCCTACCAGATCCACTTCTCTCTGCACCAACAAAAAACTGAACACAAAATGCAGATCAGGCCAGGGCTCCTAAAAACATTCAACACCGTGTTCAGACTGATTTTTAAATTTTATTTACATTTATTTCAACGCAGTTCAAAAACTGAAGCTGACAGGCTTTTGAGAAGCCACTCCACTATCTCTGCAGGCTTTTAAACATCCTCATTTCTGTACTTCTGTACTCATTTCTGATGAGACGATAAAAGTGTCAGGAACCACCAGGAAGACACATGAAATGGCTTCCAAATGATCTCCCTACTCCCCAGTGCCTGTAGGAATACCTCGAGCTGCCAGCTCAGGACAAGTACAATAATACAAGTGTTGCTAATTTTGCACAGCTGTGCTATACATTCACTTTGCACACACTGACAAATTACACCGGGAACAAAGGGCAGTCAGAGGCATGGTTTGACTCCTCCTATGACTCTGTTAATAATAACTTTACTTTATACCTTTAAATTTGAACCTGTTTTGCCCTTAAAGTGTTTTTTCCCAGTCCTTATCTCACCTCATGAGCTCGTTTTTTCCCCTTCTCTGCCCAGCTGGAGCAGAGGAGAGTGAGTGAACACTCTCTGGCATTTTAACCACTGTGAAACCACAAGAGTGCAAATCTGTGACAGTACTCTGGTCACACTATACAGGAACTCTTTCTTACAGGTACTTTTTCAGAAACCTTTCTTTGCTTTCCCTGATGGCTGCCTTGACTGGGATGTCATCTCCCCCAGAGGAATGTATAGAACATATACAGAATAGATGTTATTTCCAACTCTGGCTGCACTAAGGCTGAGGTGGGAAAAATGTTGAGCACTGGTCTGCAGCCAGCAAACACTTTAGCACACACCTTCAACAATATTTCCACTACATTCACTGAGACTTGTGTGCTAAAATTAAAACAACTGCTGAAATAAAAGGCATCTATTAACAGAAATACAAAGAAATAGCAATGTCAAATAACCTTTTGTAACAAAAGATTTGAGTCCTTTTAAGTATTGCAGGTACTTTTTCTCCATAACACAGAAAAATCAAGCTTCACTTTGGCACCTAATCACCTGAAGGTGACATTATCTGTCTTTCAGGTGTTTCCTCTGGGACCTTAATTACCTTAAATAACTTTTGAGATACCTAAAAATGTAGCTGAATACCTTGGCAATGTAATATTTAGGACTTCTCATAAACTTTATGAATGCCAATTACTATAAATGACTTAAAGAAAACAACATTACATAACATTTACTTACATATAAAAATCAGATGAGGATTATGAAAACCTGACTACATTTAAATTCCACAACATTGGCAGAGAAAGAAAAACAACTGATGGATTCAGGTGTTGTTTCCATTTTTTGGGTGGTGGAACCTGTGCTGGTCTCCATTCAAACTGTACGTGAAAAAAATGCCAAGATAGTGCAATTCTTAGCAGAGTTGGGAATGTATGTGCTAATGTTTATGTTGTATAAAGTCAAACTGCACCCCACAGATTTCAAAATATACCACATATGTGGAAATCAAACTGCCAGTAACAATTACTTCGAGATTTGAGAAAAAGGATGCTACAAAAAAAATTAATTGAACAAAATAGATTTTTTTCCTTAGTAGAGGGATATTAAAACAAGATATATGGTATGAAGTTTATCATTATTATTTTAAGGACTCAAAACCATTCCCTGAAAACCCCTTGCTGCCATGCAGTGCACAGTGTCTAAGCTTGCTTTGTCCCAAACACTGCAACCTTCTGACACACCTCGAAAATGCAGCTGGGATACAGATGCCACGACTGACACTAAAGATTCCTTAGAAAAACACAGTGAAAATTAAAGAATCCTGTATTTGTACATATCCATCCTATTTTTAGAACAATTTCAGGGCTGAGCATTTTTAAAATGCTTATTTCTCCACAGAGGAGCTCGAGCTCCCATGCCCTGCCTCCAGGCTGCACACAACCTCTTGTTTCTCCTTTACTTTATAAGCACTTGCCCACAAAGCCACTGACTGTGTATGATTAATTATATTTTCTGACCAATAAATTGTATGGCTGCTTTAATTCTCCTCAAAGTTCAGACTGGGATCTGAGAGCCCTCAAGTCACAGTTACCCCAAAATAGCTTCATCAAGTCTGATGTCAGAAAAGAGGCAGCAAGGCACAGGCATTAGGAAAACAGGCAAATCACTTGTTTGATGTGGACTACAGAAAAGAGGACATCAAAAGGCAAATTTGAAACAGAAGAGTAAGTGAGAGCAAAATAAAATAATTTCCTTTAAAGTTGCTAAAGCTACAG